AGCATTAAATATGAAAATATTTAAAGGTTTTTAACGGCAATGAATTGGGTGCATTATTAGGCTGGTGGGCACTACAAAACTTCCGATCTCTACATCCAGAAGTATACTCCATAGATAGTTATATGATTGCTAGCACGGTTAGTTCAAAAATCTTAGGCACAATTGCTACCCTTGAGGGCTTTAACTTTGTAGAAACACTTACCGGTTTTAAATGGATGGGAAATAAAGCAAAAGAACTGATGGATGCGAAAAAAAAGGTTTTGTTTGCTTTTGAAGAGGCTATTGGCTTTATGTTCACTACTACTGTACTTGATAAAGATGGAGTTAGCGCTGCTGTGCACTTGGCAACAATGGCTTGTTATCTTAAAGAGAAATTTAATATTTCACTTACTGAGAAACTGAATGAAATTTATGATAAATATGGTTTTCATTGCACCAAAGTTTCTTATTTCCTCTGCTATGAACAACCCGTTATAGAACGTATATTCGAAAGATTGCGTAATTTTCAGGATGGCAAACCAAAAACTTATCCTAAGTCAATACTTAATGGTCGATTTCCAATACAATATGTTCGCGATTTAACTACTGGTGTAGATACATCCCAAAAAGATGGCAGAGCTATTTTACCAGTTAGCAAGAGTACTCAAATGATTACTTTTACATTTGAAAATGGTTTGGTCATCACATTGCGTACCAGTGGAACGGAACCAAAAATTAAATACTATGCTGAATTGATATGTAAACCTGATCAGAAAGATTGGGATGAACGCCGCAAAGTACTGGATATAATGGTAGAAGCTATCGTTGAAGAATTCTATCAACCAAAATTAAATAATCTCACTCCTAAAAAAGATTAAATTTCATCGTAGCAATGTAAGCCTATAGATGATATCATTTTTTACGGATCACTTTATTTATTTTTTTATATCGAAGTCTATTTATTTAGTTAATCAATTTTTTATGAATTTTTTGTATTTGTAACAATATTACGAGCTCGTAAATATTGTTGCAACGTGATACTATTTGTTATCAACATATTATAAGCTGTTTTATTATTTTTAATGTATTTTATTGTTTCTGTTAATTTATTGTTACTTAATCACTGTCGAGGAGTTAATTCAGTTTTATTTGTGTTAAAAATAATTTCAATAGCCAATAACGAGACATTCCTTTTGGAAACATATTTTTTTTATTTTGTTATAAAATATTTACGATTGATTTTCGTACTCATAATAAATAACGCAACCAGAAATTGTTTGCATTTATTTTTATTGTTGTTTATTTATGATAGTAGTTCTATGTTATCAAAATAGTGATGTTTTTTTTTTGTCAATAAAGGCTTTCTAAAGATTTGAGTACCACATGATACAATGACATGTCTCACACGTGTTCATGGGGAAATCTAGTAGCAGATATGGGAAGTAATAAAAAAACTGATAAAGGAATAAAATAAATAGAGGCAAGATTTGGAAACCTTATCATACCTTTATGGAAATGACTACAAATCGGTCATAATATTGACAATAAATTTATTTAAGTTGCACCTTCGTCCAAATAAACGATGTATGCAATTTTTGTACATTTTTTCTATGTACATTCAGAGTCTCATCCGTGGCATTATAACAGACGAGCTGACTCAAATGAGTTTCAGCGTATAAAACTACTAAAGTGGTAGTCTAATCTAATCTATATTAAATAATTGTTCTAAGTGAAGACACTGCAATTAAAAGTCTTATCTCTCTCCATAGTACGCATTAAAAGTGATTCGCATTCAAAGGGTGGATAGCTTTTTACGCTTTTTCACAATTTAAAATTTGTAACTAAAACGAGATAAATGCTATTATACCACGGAAATCACTCTAAGTCTATAAAAGTGGTATAATAGATGTTACGACTGTAGTGCTTTATAGTCTCCTTTTCCTTAATAGTAATATATTCCGTTTATCACTAATCGGCATTGGTAATTTAGCGGTTATTTTATAAAGAGATTTCAAAAAGTAGTGAACTACAATAACAAAAATTCTTTTATATTATTTTAAAAGAATTATCTTATAAAATAAATGCTAAGAACTGTCAACAAAAAGATAAAGATTATTTCTAACTGTACTGTAGATTTTATTACGTAATATATATGCAATATAGAATCAAAAAAGGTTTCTTCAACTAACCAAAATTAAAAAGAAGATAACGCAATCTACAAGTTACTGTCATTTTAGATGGCATTAATATCTATATAACATGGATTTATCTGTGATGTAGATCTTTGTTATGATTTTCACACTTTTTCTGATCTCGACTAAAAAAGGTGTATTATGAAAAGTGATTTTGCTACCACCATTAATTTGACTATACATTCTAAAGTTCATTAGGGATTTAAGACCGCAGTCTTAAGACTTATGGTTTTAGCTCCCTATTTATTATTTGACATTCAAATCTCTATATGTTTCTTTTAATAAATAAGGATTTAGAAGTGAAAGCGTAAGAGGTTGTACCGAAAAAAAAGTTTTTAGATATAATTCATATTTAAACCCTAGAATATATAGGTCACACTTAAGATAATTCAAAATTTTTGGGGCCCTTTTTCTAACTGACCTGATAGAGCTGTTATTCTTTCATATTACACACATAGTCAATTTTCTAGACTTCTAAGGTTGGTTACTGTCTACTTAAATGAGGAAGTGGCATCTTCCTTAATGGGATGCTGTTCGTAAACTAGTCGTTCGGGATTTGTACAATCAAGGTGGTTCTCATATTTAAATCGTATATATGTGGACGTTCAGTATTTCTACCTTCAAGGTGATTTTTGAAATCTGACGTACGGTGTCTCAATCGTGGTTCGTTATATAAAATATGTTAACAAAATGGTTCATTATTTGCGTTTAAGTGAATTTTAATACAGAAGACTGCCACTTAAACCTAATCTCACTAAGGTCATGCTTTTGGTGTTGTTTTAGTTAAATTTTTTAATACATTTCCTCTTCTTTGATATATAGCCTCCTCTTAAATCTTCAACTATACATATATAGGTGTCATAATTGGGGCTCACAATAATTCATGGAGCAGTTTATAGCCCGCTCCATTTGTAATTTTACTAATCCTTGTACAGCCATTTTGAATCACCATATTTTTGGATAATGAAATTCCAATATAAATGGAGTACAACAGTTTATTGTCAATATTGACGAGTGTTTCTGCGGTAAGCCGGCTAGTGTTGAAACCAATACATTAAACATTAATATGTTACATCTAGAATAAGATATATGTTTAATTTGTTTAAAATTTATCAAAGAATCAAAATTTAACTAAAATATATGAAAGCATACTGTTGGAACCAATAGATTAAAAATCAGTATGTTGCCGTATAAATAAAAACTCAAGGGTTAGGTTAGAACCCCATTAGAACCTTTGACAAAGCTTATAATGCTATTCGGAGAGAGATTTTGCAGTTCGTCAAGATTCTCAAAAAAGAGAGCTATTAAAGTGTTAAGGCAGCGCCGCCCATGAGCCGGACAGAAACAAAGCAGATAGGAGGCACTTTTATCGTCCTCACCACAACTGGGGCAGATATAGTTAAAAGGGAGATTTAGTCTCCTAGCATGGCTACCTAAAATACGTATAATATAAGATAATTGTTTAATTTGTTTGAAACTTATCAAAGGATTATAATTTAACTAAAGTATATGAAAACATACATACATCAAAATAAATTTTTTTGAGAAAAATAAAACAATTTTAAAGCTGCTAAAATACAAGCATTTTATTATTGAGTAAAAATTGAAAATGTCGATTTTTTTTTATATCAAACTTACTATTCTAAATATACAATACACAAAAAAATTATTTAATATATTTTATATAAAAAGTAATTAATCATTGTTATTGAAAGAAAATAAAAGGCAATTATCTAAAAACAAAAACACATGCTACATCTTAATATGTATAAATGCATACTTTTGTATATATCATTGAAGGTATAAAAATCTCTTTATATATATTTTATATAAAATATTTTAATTATATATATATATATATATATATGGGGCTGATTTAGTTTCATACTTATTTTTATATTATTTTTTTCTTTTTTGTTTTGTAATGTTTGTAAATTTTTTTTTTCTTATTTTAAAAAATATTTCTTAAAATCTTAGCAGTCTCTAACGGGTTATTTGTCATTGTTTCCATTTGAGATATTTTTTGTTTGTTTCGCATCATTTTTATTGTTATTAAAGTTTGCTTTGATTATAATTATTTAATTGTTTATAGTGTTTAGGAGTTTGTTAATAGGATAAAATGTTGTACAAATATAGATAGTAAACTTTTTACTAAGGAAACTTTTCGTTTTTACAGCTAAGTGTTATAATTTCTAACAATTTGAGAAAAGTATCTAAGATTCGATACGTATTCGGGCTGGTTTAGTTTAACTACATTTAAATAATTTATAATTTATCTATATATTAAAATGATCAATTTAACAAAATACTTTTGAAACAAATTATATAGAATAAGTAAATATCAAATAAATATTATTAAGTTTTTAACTCAATTATTAAACAAAACATACAAAAGGAATATTCAGACGTAGCCGGGTAACTCTGTGTTGTGATAAAATAATAAACGTCTGTCTAAATGCAAGTTTTCAATTCTTTCTCCGTAAAGTTTTATAGATGTTAGACATTAGAAATTGAAATGTGCACAGGTCTGTTTCCATTTTCAGAATCGTAAAAGTTTTTGATAAGGTTTTTTCTTTCTGAAATCGTAAATAGCAAGAATTTTGCGAAGATGAGATGTCCATTGCGAAGATGAGATGTACATCTCATTATATGAGATGTCTAATGTCCAATGCAAAGCATAACTAATGACAAATTCATAAATACTGAAAGCGGTGCTGAATATCGCTTAATAGAATGGAATGTGTGTGTATACAAACATTTCTTATAACTTATAATTAGTAATTATAATTACAAACGCAAGTGTTTCGTATGAAAGCGAAATTAATTTCTACGAAATACTTGTGTTTTGGAAAATTTAACTGAAATTGGAAATAGGACTGATAATTATATCATATAGTCCATTACTACATTAATTGTAGTTTTATTTTTTTTTTAAATAAATGTTTGTGCTCTTATCTTAATGAAAACAGAAAGTGAGTGAATTGAAAACAGGCATAATAGTCATTTACTCTATTACTACAGTAATACTATTCTTATTATTATATATATATTATATATATATGTTTGTTCTGAAACTTGGACAGATAACTTAATAATTATTGTCTTAAAAAAAACCTTATACAAGTAAATTACTTTTTAAATGTGTATTACAATTGAAACTATAATTAATAAAAAAAAATGTTTATTTATCTATTTTTGTAAACTGATAATCATCAACTGAAATTTTACCGAATACCGAATAATTATCGTATTTAATGATAAGGTAACGTTGTAATTTTACAAAAGCAATAATACATATAATTATAAAACTTTAGTGAGTTACTGAGCGTAGCTGAATACTCCTCGTCGTATTTTCGTTATAATTTAACACTTACTTTTTTGCTTAAGTAGTATAAATAATATAGTGATATGGTATGTCAATGTTTCATACTTCTTTCAAAATTGGAAAGTTATAGTTACTAACAGGATTGTGAACCGTATAAATTTTTGAACTTGTTTAATACATTCGTAAAGCGTTGCTAATGGTTTGTTCAGTCATAAGAATCACATTAGGTATTCTTGTATGCCAAAGCCCACTTGAGTGTTATTTATACGCAAATCAGAAAGACCTCTCAACAGACCACAGTGATCAGTGCATAGAAAACACTAAAATGCACGACTCCTCTACTGATCATTTCTCCAGTCATGTAATCGTCTTGTATATCCTTACCGTTCCCAGCGGGTTACAACAACAACTCCTCTATTGAAGATCAATTACATTAACAAATCATTGGTACCAATATTAAGCTGGTTCAGTTCAGAAACGGTTCACACTCCTTGTTTATAAATTATGTTATCTAAAATTAAGTTAAGTACTTTCCTAACTTTAAATTAATATAAAAAATAATAAAATAAATGCTTAATTACTTGGAAGTTTGTTACTTTGAACAACAAATAAAGTCGTGTTCTTTCAGTAATACTTTTTAAACTATTAGTAATTATTTGTGTAAAAATATTTTGATATGTGTTTGTAGGATTCACTGGGTTTGAGCATGTTTTGATATCATATTTAATGTAGAAATGAAATTATTGCTTATTCTACACAAATACATGTAGATAAGATGATTGTGTTATATTGCTATGTGTGGGTGTTGGCGTCATAGTCTGTTGTCATACCGATGTTTCGGAATTAAGCTTTAATACAAATTTATTGCTCTTTGGATCGACTACCTCTTCGGCAATATTAAAATGAGGTAGCTTATTAATTTGTACCATTATTGATACATCATTTTGTATCAATTGAAAAGTACACTCATTAGAAACAGGCCTGGATACTAAATCGTCACATATGAGTGACCAAGATTGTATCCATCGACGTTCTTTTTCACTTTGCAATACTGGTGATTCACTTAGATATGGTTCTAAAAATGCGCGTGGTGATAAGTCATGTTTAAGACAATGTGCCAAATGCTTGAGTATGCTTTCAAATGTATGTCGCGGTTGTTGACGTGTTACACGTAAATATTTTTGCAAAGCGCGTGCCATAGATGGAAAGACTGCTTGTGCTGCTTCTTGAGGATCTAGTGGTACAGCTGGTGCTGGTTCATTATGTATGCGTTTAATATGTGTAAATGCCTCTTCAGCAGCGGTAATAAGACGTGCACGACGCTTCTTGACACGACGTTCATATTCATGTTCTTCATAAAATCTTTCATTGTGCGAAGAATCACGACGTCGTGCATTTGCAGCTAAAACTGCACGACTCTGACTTTGTTGCTGTGAATTGCCAATACCATCGACTTCATAATATTTGAAACTAGTAGAGATTTTATTGCGTTGTGATTTTGATATCGGTATTCGTTCGAGATATGGATTAAATATGGGAAAATCTACGTAATATCGTTGCAACACCCAGACAGCAGCTCTTTGAATGCTTAGTTGCCCCATCATATAAGAACGGGAAACACCATCTGGTGAGCGTATAATTTTAACATAATACATTGGTTGATTATGACGTAGCTCAAGTAATACTACGGCAATATAATGTATAAAAAGGAGTGTATCTACCAGATTTGTAGCATAAGCTACAAGTGATTTATAATCAACTGCATCGCCACCTGTCTCAACAATTATTTTGGCACCGTTAGTAACCTAATAAATACACAATTATGTCAATAATTTATTTGAAAAAAAAAACAAAAAGAATAAAAAGTATACATACCTGCACAATGTAAAAGAGCCAATATGCAAATGTGCATATGGTAACAAGCAGTAACACAACAGCACGGTATAAGAATATGCGAGGCATTGTGGCAGAACATCGTCTAAGAAATAAAGCCCACAAACCGATGGCAAGCAATAGTAGCCTAACTGTGAGTGATACTAGCAATCCTTTGCATTCACTGCTACAAGCAAGCAAATGTGTTCGCACAGTTTGTGTTAGTTCTGGATGATCAAATGCGGATGGAAAAAATCCCATACGTGGCATTACAACCATTGCAATTGGTGAAAAAAAGGATGCAAATGCTAATAGAAACGAAAATGTCGATTGTAGATAGCGTTTACAAACAAAACCGAAACCGGCATCAGCTTCACGATGCCAAGCACTATTTATATCCTCCATCGAAATGCTTTGTTCAGATGTATTGCCTGTGACAGCTGTTGTATTTTCGCCCCAATTTTCATCTTGCGGTAAGATCTGTACCTCAATAATTTCTTGACCATCACGATTTTCCTCACCTTTACCAAAATATTTCATTATTATATTTATTATATATTTATTATATAATATATTAGTAATATTACTAAATATATAATTAATACCTGTTACATTAACAGTAGTCTGATATGGTGCCATATCGTTACGTTGGCCACCCTTACCAGATTTGCTGCTACGATGTGAATGGCGCGTACGATCACGATGATAGCCGTTATTTATTGAACCACTTCCGCCGTTATTGCTATTATTATTGTTATGATTTCTTGAGCGCCTTGAACGTCCACTATGTTCTGATTTCAAAGATTCGTTCTCCATCGCAATATTATTTTAGCGTTAATTTGTTGCTTTCCGCTGCAGCACTCCTAAGAGTAGCGCGCTTTGTACTATCACTTTTGTAATATACTTTATGGTAGTAAATTATTCTAATATCAAAAAAATTGAAACAAAAACACTTATATTTATAAAGCAGGGGTGGAGTAAATCGCAGACTTTTTTTTGTTCTACTTTACTCCAACAAGTCTTATTAAAAATTCCATTCACTGAATTTTTTAGCCTTTTAAAATTACATCTTGTTTATTTTTTTTGTGCGGTTAAAACATTAGAATACACTAAAATTCCTTCGATATATATTCATCCATAATTTTTTTCACATATTTATAAATTCAATAAACTACTAAATGTAATAAATAAAAATGCCATTATAATGAGAAAGAATTTCGCGTTCTACTTCACACAAACTATTCACAATAGAAACTACAGTGCAGTGTTGTGAAATGATTCATTGTTCGAGAGTAGAAATTAATTAAATTGTAGCAATAACCAACGGGTAGGCGAGCTTAATACGAGAAAGAATTTTATATACTACGGTTCTATCTATTATGCCACGGATCTACAATTGATCTAATAATATGAGGTGCAATCTTCTTAAATTCCAGGCCCTGTCACCTGGACGATTTATAAATATTCTCTGAATTATTACAATCCAGTCCAGAACGATTACCTGTAATCCAGTTCAACAATTGATATATACTACTGAAGCTCCTGATATATACAAATATTTTTACATTAAATTTAAAGAAATATTTGTCAGATTTCTTAATACTTGCCGATGAACATTTTTATTCACATTGCATATCATAGTTTTGCTTGCCGCCGCAAATTGATAATAATTTTTTTCCGCATACTCATATTAATGTTCAACATACTATTACGCTAATGTCACCGGCTGCTAAAGCTGACATATTATATGGAGTACAGAGTCAAAAATTAAAATGATTTTTGGCTGTGGAAATTTTACATCACGATGCTCTTAACATACGTATTGGCTTAATGCGCACACCGATAAACGCCCCATTGGAATTCGAAAAAATTTCTCGTAACCAATAACAATTATATGATTGGGTATAAGCCGTGTGCGCGTTCGAGTAAATTGAGGTAGAGTAAATGTTTTTGTTGGTTTTATATATAACAATAAGACTATCGCTTTGATTCAAGTGAACCTCTGTGTGTCTATCACTGTTCTATAGTATTAATATTGAATTAAAATAAATTCAAATTCTTTGCAACTTTTATTGAAATATTTGAATGAAGTTTTTAGAAATATATGCTAATGACATGATAAGTGATCATGTTTGAAAATGATGCAAATGTCACAGTAGTGAACTATCTAATGAAGTTCGTTGAATGCAATTCACAATAATTAAGTTTACGACACCTGTCAAAAGTGACCACTCAAACTTGTCACTGATTGCGCTTTGTGTATTGTAGCTGCATTAAAAAGAGTTCAATTGCGTTGAAATACATTCAATAGGATTTGTACCTTATATTTTATGTAAATGAGAAATTTTGCACAATATAAGTGACATGGAACCTATTGATACTGAGGTTGTTAAATAATATATTCTATTATAACATGAGTGTAAATTTTAAGCCTTATATAGATCTCTACAGATGCAGAATTGCAAAATATGTATGCATCGGATGGCGTCTTGAAACTATGTGAAAGCGATGATGAAATACTTCAGTCCGATAATGAAGCGAATGCTAATGAATTAAAAGTAAGTATTGTAATCAATTTATATATATATTTTTAATTATTATATTGATAGGCTATTGAATCATCAGATGAACTTTATGAGCCTTTGCAAAGACCAACTTATGTTGCTCCAAAAATTGAATGTAATAATGACGTATCGCAAGTTAGTCTTGAGGATGGGGAATTATTAGTAAATATATAGCTTAATTTATTTCGCTTTTTATATAAAAATATTTCTACAGGACCCTGATTCGTCAAATGATTATGAACCTTTACAACGTCGAAACACGTTCACCAAATCGACAGAAAATAAAAATAAATTATCATCGGATAGTGAGAATTCATCTGATAATTCCTTTAGCGGTTTAGAAACTTTCAGAGTTGAACGAAAAGTTCAAAAAAAGCGTCCTATTATGGTACGTGTTAATACACCAAATGAAACACGCACAAAATTTAAGAAAAATAATGTTTGGGCAAAAGCATTAGAAGAAGAGACTCTTACCGAAACAATGAGGTCGATAAACGTTACTTCTGATTTTTTAGTGGAAAGAAATGTTGAGAGTTACCCAATGAGATATATTAATAGAAAACGTAGACTTTCAAGCAATGACGATGAATGTTTTATATCGAAAAGACATCGTCGTACTGCGAGCAATGAAGAACAAGATGAAGGTTTTGATTTTAGTCGATTGGGAGATAAGCCTCGTCATAATAAAGGATCAAATAAGTTGAAAAAACAAAGATATATTCCTGATCTGAAGGACATAGAAGGACGTGATGCGACCGACATAGCTCACGAAATAGCCGAAAACCTTCATGAACACAAATCTGATTTAATAGGTAATTAATGAATAAAATTAATGATATAATTTAAGGTCCAATGTAAATAGGAATTTGTTTAAAGTAACTATTTATAGTTAGACTATCTATGCGTAAATATATATATACGTAAGGTAGATACTATATTAATGTACTATTAAAATTTCATGTGCACAGACCGTTATAGACTCTATACATGTTTTAGCTGTCCTTTAGCGGCTCTTACTGCTATTCTGAAGACAATGCATGAAGTTTAGACAGTTCATAAATTAAGAACCTACTTTACCGACGCATTCAATTTGCAATACCAATATTAAAATAGTCTCAAAACACTAAGAAAACTGAAACGATCTACTGACTATTCAAATTACTTCGGATTATCAGATTAAATGCATAAATATTGCATATAGTAATAGCAATATTTATGCATTTTATGTATAATTTTTTGTAAAAAAACCTATAAAATATCTGCTATATCTGCTGCTTTCAGAACGAATCTTAAATATATTAGGTGTGGATATTCCTATAGAGATATATAAAAAAACACAGGCTATTGAAGAGGAAGGAGGTATGATGGTTTTGGTAAGAATAATTTATTTATTTGCTGGTTTATTAAAGTGGTAAAATACTCCTATATTTTGCAGAATGGAACTCGTAGGCGAACATCTGGAGGAGTATATTTTTATCTTCTTAAAGGTGATTCAAGAGTTTCAAAAGAGAAACATGATGAAATATTTGAGTTCGATAAGGAAAAAAATTCCAAATGGGCTAAATCAATAAAGGATGAAGCACGTGATCGAAAAGTTGAAGAATTGAAACAACGTCTAAAGGATCACGATTTTTCGAATTCTAAAAACAATTTTTTGCTAGGTTCTGATTTGAGTGCAGAAAATCAGAGTGGTAATTGTAAGTATATAAATATATTTTTTTAGTATATCACATATTATCGTTACATGCATATTGTAGTATCCAATCCTCCTCCATCACCAGTTGGTAACGATAATAGTTCTAATGTTGTGCCTGAAGTTAATCTTCAGAGTCCTGTACGTTCGCCAGTTACCACACATACTGTTTCAACTGAATCAAAGTATTTGGATGAAGATGTTATTGACTTAAATTACGAAATGGATTTGTTTTGAACAAATATACTGAATAATAATAGAACAAATTAGTTATAATTGAAAATATTTTTTTAAGTTTATATATAAATTTATATAAAATCCAACATATTATTAAATTGAACAAAATACATCCTTGTTTTCATTATTTAATACCTTGGTATTCTAATGGCGTTATCAATTAGTAAATCTGAAGTAATTTTTTTAATCGAGATTCGCTTTTAGTGTCATTTTCGATTGGCAAATCTGTATAACACTTGAGATTATTGTATAACACTCGAGATTAATTTATAACACTCTAGATATTTTATCAGAGTATAAAGATTATCCTAAAATTAACAGCTGTTTTATATGATTTAACAGATAAAAAAGTGTGATTTATTTCCACACGTTATTTCCACGGCTTTCGTTTTGAAAAAAGGTACAAAAAATAATAGCGCATTTAGCTGCAAATGCCGATGAGTATTTCAAGTTGTTACCATTTGCAAAAACGCAGAAGTAGGGTTGAAGATTTTGTGGTAAATGTTGTATAACTACACAGAAAAACAAGTTAGTATGAACATTTTAATTCAATTGGTTTATTTACTAACACAACAACAAAAAATTTAGATTACTTTAAATATGTTCGATTGGGCAACAAAATTTGACAGATCTAGAGTAAGCCTATTAGTTCCTAAACGGTACTATCGCGTGTCCCAAATTGAACATAGTATTGTTGTGTACGTTCACATGTTGACGTTGTCGTTCGCGATCGTTGGATCCCGATAAATAATTAAATAGGAATCGATTCACAATTTTCTGAATTGTGACTTATTTTCCAACAAACTATCAAAAACTTAGAAAACTATTTCTATGTTTACTTGGTTTACAAATTCATAACAGTATGGGCATACAAATCGCAGCTTAAAACTACTTTGGACAATTCGAGTAATTATTTTTAAACAAAAATTTTGGATGCAATAATCTTTTCAAAAGGGTGAATATGTCTTAAATATACATATACTAATCGAAGACGATAACGAAACTAAAGTTATGAATATGTCTTAAATATACATATACTAATCGAAGACGATAACGAAACTAAAGGTATATGTATATATAAATAGAAAAAATTATTACACAACAAAACAATATACATTAAAACTTTTTTTTGTGTAACAAATATTTATTAATCAAAATTTAAACTAATTAAGTTTATTAAAAACCTTTAAAAAGAAAATTATTTTTAGTCTGAAGTTTTAGTTTGTGTTGTAGGTAATCAATTTGTTTTTAATTGCTATCATATTAATTTAATAATCACCACATAATTAAGCTTAAATTAAAAAATCCAAAATATTTTATTTTGTTTTTTCTTTATGAATTTTGTTGAAAGTAAAATAAGATTTAATCCTTAAAACAAAATATAGTATGAAAAAAATGTAGTATAAAAAATAATATAGTATGAAAAATAAATAAACAATTTATATTTTTAATTTATAGTCTAAAAACAATTACAATTTTTCATATAAATTAAATTTTCGTTTAAAACCTAAAAAAGAATAATAATTTCATGTTGGCAAAGTTTGGTCTAATTGTCAAATATACGGGGAAATTTGAAGGAATTTATAAAAATTGTATAAAGCAATGCCTTACAATAAATACAGCTGTTCAGTATGTTCAAGGAATTTGTCAAAATTTGACAAGCGACTGTCTGAACATAAATTATTGGACGCGAAACAGAGTTGAAAAGTAAAAAAAGTTTTCATGTATTCAAATTCATATTTAAACAATTTTTACATTATAAGATTCTTGTATATTTTATTTATTATCGTGGTGCTATCATTATAAACAAAGTCAAACAAAATTCTTGTGTAGAAAAAAGATGCGAAGAACGCGTTCCCAAACTCAAGCAGAAAAGGCGGTACAAGATAAAAATACCATGAATTCTGTACCTACGGTACAACCTCCAAAACGTATTTTACGAAAACGCTCAACAAATACTAATTATATCGATATGAATAAACAAAAAAAGGTAAGTTTATTAGTTATCGTTAAATTATTTTTTATTATAAGACCATTATTTTGTAAGACCAAAATTTAGTGGTAAAACTATGTGTGTGGTACATTTATTAGCTGCTTTTTTTTTTTTAATTAAAAGTAACTAATATTTATGGCATAAAGCCTACATATCCTAGAGGAGATTTTTTAGCTTCGGAGCCCGAAAATAATTAGGAATGGCTTTAAAACTTAGTCCCTGGCCTATATGAAATTGACAATGGCATCGAGAGGGAGAAATGATACTGCTTGTCTTCACAGACTAGAAGCACCGGTATCTACAGCTGTCCTTTGTCGGTTCCTCATCTTACTCCGTATATTTGTCTTGTACTCATTCATATTTCTGGTTCATATATTGCTATAATAATTGAAACAGCAGATATATCTGATAGTATAGCCTATTATTATTATTGTGTGGCGACCGGCGACCGTCGGGTCTATTGTGCCTTCTTCTGGGTTCAGGGTAGGTCTCTAAGCCCTGTTGCCTCAAGAAAAAAGTAGTAATGTAGAAGTAGCATAGCCTATATTATTAAAAATTCCATACGGTTTTACAATATATTTTGCTGTTTTGTGGCTGATATAATACACTATATCATCAACTATATCATCAAAGTTTTTAGTTGGTAAATGGTAATAAGTTTGGAATATAAACACTGCTTTGCTGTTGTAAAGTTTATTTGAGGTAAATAATCCAGAAAGGATTTTGACATTAAAAATAAAGGACAAAAAACGAAGCTGATAATATCATCAAATCTTTAAACTGTCAACAAGAATATGACCGATATCTATATAGGGTGTAGAACATGCCATACGTGTTAACCTACTGAACAAGTTAATTGCTATTGACAATTCTTTGTTTTAAGTGAATTTCTTTACGATTTGTTTGCTTTGCGAACCATGGTGGAACTCAAGCAATAGTTATGAACTTTATTTGGTGGTCGATGATAAATTGTTCTGCGATGCCTAACCGTAACGTAATTCCAGACACTGGTACCATTCAAAAAAATCTAAATAAGTTTTTAAACTGCATGTTTATTTCAAGTTTAATATTAAAAAGGAAAGAAAGGACCAAAACAACGGCGGATTGGTGTTGCTGTTCTAAGTAATCCCGTAAAGAATTGGAAGTGGTATTTGATTGTTTGATACTAGTGGCTCAGCACGCTTTAACTACAGATGATTGATAGCTGTTTTTATTTAATAAAATAATCGTTCAAATAGTGCATTCTATGAATGTAAAAAAACATTTTCTATAACCACTTTGAATTGTTGATTTTAATTTTACGAAATCAGGAATATTTATTCTGCTATATTTGTCCTTATCAAGAGACCTTGTCAATAGACCTTACCATGCTAAATTGACCAACGATGATTGATAGCTGTTCTTATTTAAATAAGAATAATTTTTTTTATTCTTAATTGTGAAAAAAACTTTTTTTACCACTTTAAATTGTAGGTTTTTATTTTATTGAAGCCGGAAATATTTATTCCATTATATTTGTCATCAATAGATCTAACCATGTTAAAGGCAGTTTGTGGCACATGATTTCGCAGATTTCGACAGTTTTTATCGTATATATATTTTTGCGTATACATAAACAATATTACTCTGGAATAACTTTAATAAATTGATATGCGTTGCATATTAGACCAGATTCTATACATCTGATATGTTTTTCTGAATGAAAATAGTATTATCTTTTTCTTGTATTTGCAAAAAAAAAAAAAAAAAAAGTTAAAAAAGAAAGGGACTTATATATAGACTTATATAAAAGTCTCTCCGGTTTATATAATTAGTCTCATTAAGTAGGATTCGGTAGTTACTGTTTAATTTGGCTATTACACAGAAATAAAAGGACTAGAATGTTGTCTTTGAAAAGGATTAGAATGGGTATTGTATATCACAACATTATCGGAAATTTAAGAAGTGTTCCTTTTATACGTTTAAATACATAAATATGTGGTTTGCTAAATGAAGTAAGCGCATTTCTATATCTCAGCCTACAGTATTTTTTTTTTTTGTAAAAGATGTGAGCTTTCCTGTCATATACTAAACATTAGTTTTTATACATTTTATTAAGTTTAAGTTGTGGGTAGGGAATCTTCGATATATAAGAGCATCCATATTTACTGTCATGAGTACTTTTAAAAAGTACTATGTACTTGAAATCACTTATACTTTCTGTCAAGTACTTTCATACATGGATGTTATCTAGATGCAATAAAATTAAGTTTACAATATAAAATGTTTTATTTTGTTTTTAAAAATATGTTTATTATTTTATATACAATATTTCCATTTACTTATTTTTATATATGTATTTGTATAATAATATAATATATTATATATTTGTATAATAAAAATTTTAAAAAACATTTTTTAAAAATCCTTAAGTATCTAGTTTCGATCAACTAATTAATTAATTAAAATTGATCGCAATTAAATTTGATTTCCGCAAAATAATAGTTTGTATGATTGTTATTATTGTTAAAAGAAGGGATCTTGCACTGCGACCTAAAGATCTATTATGCCTGTATGATGCTCAAGCACAAATTTTTAAAATAATTCTGTATATTTCTAACATATAAAAAGTTAATAACATATGTTTTTCGGTTGTAGATAACTGTGCGGATATCCGCGTGTATATATCCAATCCATATGCTATATACAGATTTAAGTAAAGATAAAATGAAAGCATAAAGCTTTTTCATACACAAAATATTCCATATAAAATAATAAATCTATATGTGCTCACAACTGTTGAACTTTTCAAATAAATCATGATCAATGCCTCAGTAAGATAAAATTTTACTGAGAAAAAGCTGTTTTTTGATGAACTGATTCTGTGGTTAGCGTTTGTAGCTTAGGTATTACGAAAGTCAATGTAGTACAGATCCCTAATCCAGCATCTCTAAAATAACACAATGTTCAATTAAAAGTTTTATATTGTTAGCTATTTTAGGCGTTAGCTTTTTTTCCTTTTCTATATATATATAAAATATATTTTTGATAGCATCCGTAAGGATAAATCCTAATAACTACAAAACATTATCGTTTTCGAATGAGGTGAATCACTCACAATTTTTATTCTAAGTTTTTATATTTTTGATAGCATCCGTAAGGATAAATCCTAATAACTACAACACATTATCGTTTTCGAATGAGGTAAATCACTCACAATTCTTATTCTAAGTTTTTATTTTGGGAAATGTAGAGACTAAATTGCATAGGAGTTTTAATATTTAGTGTATAATATTTAAGATCAGTTGGATAAGAAAATAGCTTGATGTGCTATCCTTACAATCAATGAAACTCCGATGAAAGTTTTAAGTGGCACTTGGTTCTAGATAATGCTCGGCTTTAAAAAGTAGAACGTGCCGTTTGTGAAACCATAGTTTCTGGTCAAATTTTCTACTTCGACATTTGATTTTTTTCTAATTTAACTTTTGAGTTATGTCTTAGTCTCTTTTTTCTGTTTAGATTTTTGGTGTTTTTTCTTTTTTTTTTTGGTTTTCGCATTCCTGTTACATATCTAAATAACTACAACTGAGGTTATTTTATATTTTAATGAAATCCAAGGTGGTGCAGCTAGACGGTTGTTACTTTGTACCAATCAGAGTTTTCTCTCCCTTGGTGCCTAAAACATATGAATTCTTTAGCTAATCTATTGCTTATAATGTTGTCACGTGTAAATTTGAGATGGTTGGAGAACCATGTTGCAAATTGGAGGGTTAATTTCTCTGCCATTTTTGTGTTTGTCTTCTCTAAATTTTGTGGATGCTTTGCTTTGCAGGTGTATGTTTTAATCAATATTTAAAATATTTGTTCTATGTTTTACTTTAATGCATTATTTTTGACAAATATTAGATACTTTCAAATATGAACTAATCCGTTGTATAGTTTATTCCTTCGATTTCCGGAGCTTGCATAAATCATATTATTTTGGTATTTATTGCAAGCATGGAAAAGAGCAACCAATTTTCACTGGTTACCAAACATTTTTCTTGCTACCAACCAAAATAGTTATTTGAGAGGGTATGTATGCATGACAGCTAAGTGATCTTAAATCTAATTACCTTCCTTTATGCTAGTTGTCTTATTGATTACATACATTTGGACAACACAAATTATAGAACTTAGGTAGACAATTAGCAACAAAGTCTTTGCATTCTGTACAGTTTTTCTATGGTTGTAAATTTATTTAAGACTGTAGACATCGTTATAATTTGTTGAAATCGCTGAATTGTCTATCCAGGGAATGGTGTGTTGGAATTTTGGCTATAGTGGATATTGAAAGAATATTGGATATTAAGATAGTTACAAGGTTGTATTGGGGATAATTTAGGAGCACCAATCATCATTCACCATCTGTTTTTTCTTTTTTGAAATACCACACATGCAAATTCCAATTTTTGAACGAAATCTGTCATGATATCATGACATACCGATCATTTGTCGTTGTGTTACAACTAAATCAGTAAAACTACTTTTAAAATTTGCAAAACTGTTGAAAAAAAACATTAAGCACTGTTTTGTTATAGAAAAATACCATGTAAAAGCGATAAGAATTGTAAAGTGTTATGGCGACTGCGATGTACTTGATTATAAAATGATCAAATAAGCGAAATCAAAACTAAGATCCCTTGTGCCGTGTGAATAGACTACAACTCTTAAGGTGCATCCACACCAAAGCGAACGAACGAAGTTTTTTTGTAGATACGATTACCTGCGAATGTTTCTTCGTTCGCTTTAGTATGGATTCACCTTCATATAACACGCGTTTCATAAAAATTTTTTTATTTTAATGTAAAATACGAAAGACTAAACTAAAAAAGAATTGTAAATTTTTAGTTATAAATACAAGAATTCTTTCTTTTCATAGATATCCCTGTACTCTAACATTTTTTTTATCAATAAATATATGATAACATATTAAATATGTTACAAAAAATTACTTCAAAATCTTAATATAAAAAATTGGTTTAAAAAAAGTCATAAAGGAAATTTGTTTAATTTGCCGGTTTGTTTGACACTACTTAAATAGACGCAGAACACATATGGAGTATGTTCAATCATATAGAAAATAGAGGGAAATTATAAATTACCAAACTAGCCGCCATGTTCTTTCAGTAAAGTGATATTATTTTTGTCTGTCACAGAAGTGCATACATTTTGTTACGCCGAGCAAATAAATTATTTAAAAAGTTGTAATATTTATGTTTTAAGAGTGGAATATAAATTAAAAGTGAAAGAAAGTATGTGTACAATAATATATGCCTGCTATCCCTACTAGGTAAATATATATTAACTTATATCATTGCATTAAAATTTTTGTGGATAACGTTTTCATTCATCTATTATAAACAATTTTGTGGTAAAAATTCATATAAAGTACATATATATCAAAATAATTATAATATCAAAATAATAATGTGATATATATTAATTATCTTGATTACTATGGTTAAGTTTATTTGATATATGTAGCACTGCAAAAACAACAACAACAACAACCATATGGAATGCAATTAAAATGAATAATATAGTGTATATACACACATTTGCATGGGCAGATTCCCAATATCGTTAGAAAAATATATGCATAGGGGCTAGCTTAACATATTGCATTTCTATGCATTAATGTTTGTATATGAAACGATATTATGTACGTAATATATAAACTGTATTTATGTACACAAATATATACATATGTATATATTGATTAATGCATATGATTTATATATATAAATATGTAAATATTATTTTATATATTTAAGTATGTATATATTACTTTATATATATAAATCATATGTATATATTGATTTATATATATAAATATGTATATATTGTTTTGTATATATAAATATGTATATATTGATTTATATATATAAATATGTATATATTGATTTATATATATAAAATATGTATATATTGATTTATATATATAAATATGTATATATTGATTTATATATATAAATATGTATATATTGATTTATATATATAAATATGTATATATTTATTTATATATATAAATATGTATATATTGATTTATATATATAAATATGTATATATTTATTTATATATATAAATATGTATATATTGATTTATATATATAAATATGTATATATTTATTTATATATATAAATATGTATATATTGATTTATATATATAAATATGTATATATTTATTTATATATATAAATATGTATATATTGATTTATATATATAAATATGTATATATTTATTTATATATATAAATATGTATATATTGATTTATATATATAAATATGTGTATATTTACTTATATATACATACTGATATATATTATTATATATCAGTATATAAATATGTATATATTGATTTATATATATAAATATGTGTATATTTACTTATATATACATACTGATATATACAGCTGCAGTCAAATTAATAATACCAAATGTTCAACTTCTACTTATATGGAAACTGTTTTCTTATATTGCTTTTTTTTCTTACACTTATATATTGCACTATTTAAACTAAAATATTTTACAGCGATTAACTGTTTAGTTCGTTTAAAAATGAAAAAGGGATCTACACCAAAAAAACCATCAAACATGGTGGCTCATCTATTATTATTTGAGCTTGTTTTTCCTTTTACAGAGTAGGGCTTATATGCTGGATCAAAACTATCATGGATCAGCATTTTTTCTTGAAAATAATAGAGAAAACTGTGTTACGATATGCTTCAGAAGAAATGGGTCTAACAGCAAGACAATGACCCAAAGCACAATAGACGAAAAGCGAAGCAATAGTTCGAAAGTAACTTTCTGTAGAAAGTTTCCTCACCTCGTTCTCGACTTTTAAATCCTATTAATAATTTGTGGACAGAAGTTAAGAATAATGAATGCAAAAGCAATCCAAAAAATGGTAATTAGTTTTGAGCCGTTTGCGAGCGGAGAACCAAATTAGAATAGAAAAGTGCCAAAAATTCATTGATCCTACGCCGTCATGCTGTACAGCTGCACTTGCAGTAATGTATTGCCACAAATATTAAATTTTTAAAAATTTTGTTTTTTTTTTGTTCCTTTTATAGTAAATTGAACGAAATATTTGAGTTAAAAATTATACCCGATGGTGGTCTTATTTTGACCGACTGAAAATTTGCTTTCAATGACAATATATATACCAAAATTATTCTTCGCTGAAAAGACATGATCTGTTTTCATACAGTGCCTTTCATAATTTATTTATAACTGGATCAATATACGTAATATGTAAAAAATATTTCTAGATTGTTGCGCTATGAATCTATTTTTAGTGATTGAAAGAAGGTTCATGGTATAGATTTTGGTAAAAAAAAAGATCCGAAACCGATCAGTTACTGATGTACTCTAAAAAATGTAATGTTTGTTGCTGATTATGGACCGTTGGCATTACTGGGCCTTAGCAGAGCTATAAATACTTTTATATTCATTGAGATTGTATGTACTAAATGTTAATTTGTTGTTGTTGTAGCCCACAGGGATCTGTAAAGTTAATAACATAAAAGAAACAACAGGTCTCTTCCACTAGCTACTCGTAGAAAAACTCGAGTAAAACACAAGTAAAGTATAAACTAAGAGCGTAAGACAAATAAAGTGCCAAATTACGCTCTTTACACAGATTTTCATGGAAGAGCTTTGTGTTAAGTCTGGTGAGAACAGCTAACAGTAAATCGCAATTGTTTAAAACATTTTTTAATAGATGAATTTGTGAATAAGATATTGCAGTGGTTTGTTGCTGAAGAGGGGAATTTTATAACTAGAGATATAAAAAGGTTCCGCGAGATGCGGAAATGAATTTTGAATACCTTGTCGTCATATTTCGAAACAACATCTTGTATGTAATTTTTTACACACACTCGTTTTCTTTTTCCATTATATAATAATTTAACAATTCTAAATCGTCATCAGAGTCTCTATCTCAAAGTGTATTCATTACTTTATATTCTGGCTGTATTGTAATACTTAGTTCACTTAAGAAAATATTTATTAGATTTTTTTGGCGCATTTCACTATTGATTTATTTATTACAATTAATACTTAATTTAATTAATTAATTTAATATTGGGTGGGTGGGATTTAAATTGAAGTTAACCAGGATTACGACGGAGAAACTTCTATGGAGAGGGTTCAAAGGTCGATTGGACTTAGGTTTATGTGAGTGTTGAGACAGGAAAACAGATAGGTGATATTATGGGTGGTAAAGCTGTAGTTGGGGTACACATTGGGAATTGATGCATTTATGCGTCACAACTGTTTAGGATATGGCTATATCCTGATCTCAATTGAATTAGAACAGTTTTTGTTTCAGTGGGAAGGCAGCAATTGGGAACTTTGTTACAGTATAACCGTAGTTTCGAAAGGGATACTGTATCTGTGTGTTGCACTGTAAGTCCACGTTTATATTCGGCCTCACCGGTGTTAGCTCTATTATAATAGGTGTCACTATATCCATGATATGATAAGAAGGTTCGATGAATACATCTTGGTGAGAGGGCTCTACTAGAAATTGCGCCATTAGGATGCCCATCTGTGTAGCACGCAAGGAGATATTCCTTGGACAGCAATTGATTATGTTCTTTCATAAGAATTATTTTGGATTCTGCAAAATTGAAGATAGTCAACATGCGGCATACGATGACAATCGGTCGCAATCTGCTAAGCCATTGCGTCTCGCAGAGTAGTGACATGTTAGTTTATCTGGGAATACAACGGATTACTTAAGATTGTGTGGCTGCGTAGTTTTCAAGATTTTGTGATTTATTACTTGAAGATTAATTGTTTAAGGAAGAATTAGTCTATGCGCAAAATACAACACAGATTCCAGTCTTGATAGCAAACACTGTGTGCCGTTCATAAAGTACAATCATAAATATTTAAATATGATATAGACAATGCATAATTGACCATTTTTAATGCCATTAAATTATAAATTGTATAAAAAATTATATTATTCATTGCAAAACTTGTGTTTGTTTTCTGATAATTAAAAATCTTACATCCTATATATGTTTGAATTAGATTACTAATATAAAACCTGATAAGTTAATTCAGAGCTGTTATAATAAATTAAATAAATTAATAAGATTGAAAATGATTTTAATTGAAGGAATGTCAGGACATGGTCAATTTGCTTCGTGTTTTTGAGCTACAAAATATATTATCGTATTGTAATATTCCTTTCGCTGGACGTAAAGTAGATCTTCAGCTTCGTATACAATCTCTACTAGAAACTAATTTTGAATTATTAGCACCACGGATAAAGGAAGTATATAGCAAAGCACTGTAAGTTAAAAATTCTTTTACTTTTAAAAATAAAATAAATATATTATTTTGTATTATGTTAATAAAAAGTGCGGAACAGGGAACTGTGCTGTTGACGGGTGGTTCAGAACCGAAAAACATGTTTTCTCAGATACAAATACCCGCGGTGCAACAAAATGCTGGTGCAATGGTAGCTGCAGGTGGACCAGTCATTGCAGCACAACAACTAGCCGTAAATTCTGTAGGTGGTGCCGCACCAAACCCAGTGCAGGGAGGTATGTTTCTTCCAGCACATTTGCCACCCATACATCCGGATATAAGTTTTAAGAAATTGGCATTTTATGAAGAACTAGCAATTTTAATTCAACCATCATCATTATTACCACGTAACGCACAACGGATTCAAGAAATGCCATTTTATTTTACATTAACACCAGCGCAAGCTACGGATATTGCAACAAATCGTGATATACGAAACGCAAATAAGGCCGAGTATAATGTGCAAGTACAATTAAGATTTTGCATGTTGGAAACTTCATGTCCCCAGGAGGATTGTTTTCCACCAAATGTTAGTGTTAAGGTTAATAATAAAGTTTGCCAGTTGCCGGTAAGAAAAATAATTAAAACAATATGAATTATTATTCGAATAATATATATTTTAGAACGTTATACCCACAAATCGTCCTAATGTTGAGCCAAAACGACCACCTCGGCCAGTTAATATAACACCAAATGTTAAACTATCTCCAATGGTGACTAATACCATCACTATACAATGGTGTCCCGATTATACGCGTGGTTATTGTATAGCTGTTTATATTGTACGGAAGTTATCATCTGTACAACTATTGAATCGCATGAAAACCAAAGGAGTTAAACCCGCTGATTACACACGCGCATTAAGTAAATATTCGAATACAATAAACATATTTGTTGACAGTTTATCTTATTGGTTTCGTTATGTTTTTGATTTCGTTCCTTTTTGCAGTTAAGGAAAAGTTGACTGAAGATGCTGATTGTGAAATAGCAACAACAATGCTTAAGGTGTCTTTAATCTGTCCATTAGGCAAAATGAAAATGTCAATTCCATGTCGAGCTTCAACTTGTTCTCATTTGCAGTGTTTTGATGCAAGCCTTTACTTGCAAATGAATGAACGTAAACCGACATGGAATTGCCCAGTGTGTGATAAACCTGCGATCTTTGATAGTCTAGTTATTGACGGGTAAACTATTAAAGTTTTAAATACGGAAGAGTGTATATAATATGCGTGCTTAAAAATCATTTATAGATACTTCCAAGAAGTTTTAGCATCATCGTTACTACAGTCAGAGGACACTGAAATACAATTACATAAAGATGGTTCATGGAGTACACATAATTTGCGCAATGAGACACAAGTGCTAGATACACCTGCGAAAACAAAAGAGAAAGTAGAGATTATATCGGACGACATAGGTAAGCTGTTTATTCATACTAAATAAGTACTACTAAATAAGTTAAATTTAAAATTTATTTCGATAGAATTAATAACCACAGAGGATGTTAAATCTGTAAATATAAATATTACATCTGCAGTATCAAGTGATCAACCTACATCAACTACTAATAATGAAACCGTAAAGAAAAACTATTCATATTTTTGTATTAAAAAATTTAATATACATCTAATATTCTTTAAGGTCGATTTAACATTGAGTGACTCAGATGATGATCTACCACTTGCAAAGCGTCGGCCAACTGGAAAACAAAATGCCGTTGTATCTTCAACAAATTCGTCACCGGGCTTGAATGGTGGCACTCAACGTGGAATGTATTTAACACCAAAAAACGGTACGTTGGATGCATTTTCGTACTAAAAATTTGAAAAATCAAAAAAATTAACGAGGATAAAAACCTATTTTATAGATTCTTTTTTTTTTTTTATTCAATTCTAAACGTGTAAATGTAGTTGTCTAGTGTTTTTATAAACTATTAGAACAGTTTAAAATATCAACTTCTTTGTTGGCAATAGTTTTCGAATATTGTTAGCTACTTATTTTATTAAAATTAACGTGTTAGTTCAAATTTTGGATAAAATTACACAGGACAAGTAATTAGACAAATGTAAATGATCAAAATTTAGAACATTTTGAAGTCAATATACCATATTGATTTTTATAAATTAATCTTTTATTTAAATATTTATGATATTGAAATATGCAGGTGCGACAACAATTTTAAATTATAAGAAAGGAATAGTAAACTTATAGTAATGACTAAAAAATAAAGCCATATATTCCTATAAATATTGCTACCTATTTGGTTCAAGGCATTTTTGTAGAAAACCAGCGAAGAAATGTGCGAAGAACATTCTAAACCTTTTTAAATAATAATCATTAAATTTAATCTTACATTTATCAGTACGCAATGTATAACTATATTAAAACTCAGAACTTATCGTTATACAACTAAATAATGATTATGATATATAACTGGCTTAGAAATTAGGACCCAAGTATGGAGCGGTTAAACATTTGACAAAAAAATAGTGTATTATTAAGTTTGTTATTACAGCATTTCTTTATTACTAATTATGGAAGTTTTATAATAGGGGTATTCAGGCAACTGATTAGTTGCTTAGTTGATTCAAAAACTTCATAAAAAAAAAATTTAGCATTTTGATGTTAATCAGTTGCTTGAACGACCCAAAATGCGTAATCTGATTAGTTTGTTGTATGTAAATGCCTTGGCAGCACTCGCATCAACAGCAAAAGTGAAACATACTTGTGTTTGCAAAATTGTTTACACACAATTCAAACAGCTGAGAGAGATAGCTAACAAATTTCTATACAAAAGTTCATTTTAAGTTATTATTACGACACTTGGGACTGGCAGCACTATTAATCAAATTTGTACTAATCTGAGAATCACCGAAATAGTTGATTCACTGCTTAGTTTCATTTTTGTGTGCAAATTTTTGTTGTAATCAACTACTAAGCAACTAATCAGTTGCCTGAATACCCCTAATATGTATGCAATTGATTAGGAGATGTATGAGTCATTTGACCTTTTTTTTGTTTGATTTTATTGCAATACCTTTATTAATTGATATATTAATAATGTTCAATTCTTTATTGGATGAATAATAAGCATAAATTCGTTACGGAAATAAAAATACAAATTATTAATAAAATCAATTATTTGAATCGGTATAGTAGTAGTTTCAGATCTGTACTTTTGAATCGAAGCTTGTAACAATTTTGTATAATTGGATTCAATCACAAACCGAATTAAAACGCTCTTCCCAATGTGCGTGTCAAAACTATAGCTCTACTTGATGTTGCTCCGCCTTGTTGATTATTCAAGGATATTTCACCTAGACCAGAGGTGAATGCATTCATGTTTCACGGACCCATTGTATTTACAAATTCTGAACTGAAAGGCAAAGGCTAGATAATATGGTTTTGAACCGAAGGCTTAAGCTAGATAAAATGATTTTTATACCAAAGCACTGGCTCAAAATATGGAATCCACTGATTAAAGTTAATTGCATTATAAATTTCTAAGCAAAAACTTATAAGTTCTTTGAGGTTGCAAGTTGTTAAAATTGGCTTTAATTTCAATTATTTTTAATAATAAGTTGATTATGATGCTATTATGTTCTCTTAGGTGAAGCATAGTACAATTTGAAACTGTGTGTTATGTGTTTGGTATATGCAAAAAAAAAAAAATAATCTAATACTAATAGGTGAGAATTGCACCACGATACTTCTATTATCTATTATTATTGATAAAGTGTACGCGATCCAATACTACATTTATAACAAAAGTTTTATTTAAGCTTTTGTTTAGTTCGACTTATTTGTTTTGGCTAGAAAATTTGTGGACTTTGATATATATTCTAATTTTGGTATTTTCAACTGGATTGCAATAATCGTTTCCCGTATTTTATACATATATACTACAGCTAACTTTATATACTAAGTTAATATAACTTACTGACAGTACAAATATTAGTTCTGAATATCACTATACCAAAAAATTATATATATATGTTTAGAGAAATAATTAAATCCATTTTCGCTAACAGCTTCCATTACAATTTTAAGATCAAGATTCACAAAAAAATTTATAATTTATTTACATTTTTTAAACGTCGATTAAGTTCAATATATATATAATAAATATATATACATATATATTTCGTATTTTTACTACTACTTTTGTACTTTTTGGTTGTGTCTTCTTGTTGTAACCCGCCGGGATCTGCTTGAGTGACCCATTTGGGAGATTTTGAACGGCACTTGGTTGTTTTCGACAAGTGGCTTCGGGACGTAGACCCGGCCGTTCTTGGAACTCGGTTGTGTCTTAATATGCCTTGCTTAAAATTTGTAAAAATGTTACAACATAAACAGTGACATAAAAGGTTGCGTGTGGCGAGTTGAGGCGGAAGTATAAAAGAATTCGCGGTTCATATGCATTAGTATCAAATGAGCTGTGACTCTTAGACATTGATGCATACAATAACTTTTACAGGATATCCAACATTTTTCAAATGCTATTAAAGCTGGTGGAAAGTGATTCACAAAAAAAAAAAAGATTAAAAACGCTCATAACACTATTTCTCTAAAAGAAGAGTTGTCTGCTATCTTAAAATTTTTGGCGACTGGTGAAAGCTATGAGAGTTTGGGGTATCAAACAAAGCTATTCAATTTATACTTGGTTTATTGTATATCCAAAGTATGTGAGACTATATAAACATATAGTATATATAAGGTAATATATGTTATATATATATTACAATGATACAATGCATTACAATTGTAGTAATTTGCTCTTAAGGGGCACAAATGGCGGCATTGATGACTGAGCACAGTCATGTTTCGAGAACATGACTTTCTGCATAACATGATTTCTTTCTGCCGCTGATATGAGTTTACTTACAACATACTTACATATTATTAAAAGTAATGTTAATAAAAGATAAAGATAATATTACCTTTTAAATGTAGGTACAACCAAAAGGTATCAATCCTCTTAGTAGTAACAGTACGAATATGACAGTTATGATTTAACTCTCACCATAACATGTCTTCATGTCCGTGACCAGTGCAAAACTACTGCGTCCGTTCGTCATAACATTTTCCTTAGAAAATCTTCATTAATTAATTTCAATATACTTTATGTGTTAATTGCATTTATTTAGAAAATTAAAAAACTGCCCAAATTTTTGTGTATCAAAAGTTATTCCATTATTGTCATATAATTGTGTATCTGAATTATTTATACATATGTCATACGTATTTTAATATATTTGAAATAGTTTTTTGCATAAAAGTGTTTTAATTTTTCAGAAGTACTCATTTGTTTAACAAATATATTGTTTCTTGTTTAATTTAACAAATAGTAAATTTATGTGTTAAACTGATTATTTTTAATTAGCAAAAGCTCAGCAAATTGATACAGTGGTGGAGGATGATGAGCAAGTTAAGGTTGAACATTCTTTGGAAGTCAACTTAAGTCCAATAAATAACAATGAATGCACTAATTCATCTATAACTTCTACTACTAAAGTTCATAAGAGTATTTACAATAATTCCTATAATAATGATGAAAATTGTGCATGAATTCATTATTGTGTATTTGTTGTTTGTCTTTTTGTTGTTCATACTAATTTTGTGTTTTGTATTTTAAGTACTTAAAATACTTGTAAGTTAAAAAAAATAAAAAATAAAAATACTCAAATCTCGAAATTAAGTAGCTATATATATACATATGTGCTAACTATTCTCAAAATAAAGTTAAACCTTAAGAGGACACACACGTTACACTGCAAAAATATGTAGCATTGAAATTTTGATATTCCATTATTTTTTATTTTGTGGAAAAACATACAGTGTTGTTTCATTTTTAAATACTGTATAATTAAACAAAAAACAGTGGACATATAGACTTCCTCAGCAGCAATGCAATCATACCAATGCTGGTCTAAGATATTTAAGCTTTGTAAAATGATTTATTTTTAGTTTCATGATAGGCGTTAGTTACGGATAGGAATGCATTGCTAAAGTAAAACTGTTTTCCCCTGACAATCTTTTTTAGATCCTTATACATCTTATATCTTTCGAATAAGAATGCATTGCTAAAGTAAAACTGATTTCGCTTGACAATCTTTTTGAGATTCTAATACATCTTATATCTTAAGGATAGGAATGCATTGCTAAAGTAAAACTGTTTTCGCTTGACAATCCTTTTGAGATTCTTATACAATTTGGCAAATATGACTTCCTGATGGTCATATCTAATCTTTCTTAGAATTCAGAACGAGTTCCTCATACATTTTTTTTAGGATTTAATTATTAAAAGTATTATATATGATTGCTTGATTTGGAAGTAGACGTAGTTTCGACTGCTACTGAAGCCACTTTCTGTCTATTACGCCCCGCAACAGATTTCAACAATCTGAACCACTACAGTCACTAGTATGTTAAGCTTTTCATATTTGTTTTTATCACTTCTTTATCAGAATTAATAATTAGATCTTGAATTAAAACTGGTAAAACTGCATCGAGGTACTAAAGAGGTACTAAACAGTTAAAGTTAACATGAATTTAAAGCTTGGCTTGCTGAGTTATTGATTTTTCCTTATAATTATTAATAATTATAATTATATAGTAATTATTATAATTATATAATTATTATTATTATTTGTGATTCTTAAATATGAAATTCTTAACTTCAAAGTAACATAAATTGGTTACTTCTAAAAAAAATTGTTATTTTCCTGTGCAACACAACACTGTATGTTTAATTTTTTCTGCTATAGAAATATAGTAATAATAGCATTTAATCAAAAAACTAAATAATTAATTATTTAATTAAATAAGTCTTATAAATAATGACTTTCTTCAACATTTTTGTTTGTCGTCAGATAATCAAAAAAAAAACAACTTCAATTTTAATAAAATTAAACTTATATTTGATTTTATTTTCTTTCGTTTATCAAATGCAATATTTTTCAAAATTATTAGTTTATTTAATTTTATCCCTTATAAAAATGTTTAGTAAAAATAGTGTTTAGTTTAGTTAATGTCTTAAATGTTGTCCCATAAACTATATAAGATTTATTGTCATGACAAAATATATTAAAGTAAGATTAAATCAATTCAATTGAAAACTTATAATAATAATATATAAGAGTAAATATATAAGTTATAGGTTAAGAAAAATAATAAATAAGCTATATATAAAAATAATAATAATAACTTCAATATATTTAATAGTTTAAAAGTGTAATAATTATTTATATAGATTATATAATTCATGAGTTTATTAGGTATTTCTGTGCTATTTTTTTAAATTAGTTGTTGTGTGAAAACAACTTAGATTTAACTTTTTAATTTTTATAAATTGAATATAGTTTACTATTACTTTCCAGTAATATATCTAGTAAATGTCAAATACTAATTCCTATTTTAATTACGCCACCTCTTGGTACATAGCTATTATTTTGTATTCTTCAGTACTAAAATTGTGTACGAGCGTGTACTAATAAAACTACAGCATATAGATGCTGTTCTAATAAAAATACACTTTAAAAAAAATACTTGAAAACTCTACATTAAGAACAGAGCTTCAAGCAAATTTTATATCGCAAAAATGTCTACTTCAAAATCTACATAGAGGTATAATATGTAGAGGTCTAACTGGTACCTTTAGGTATCAATAGATTTATACGTGGCTTACGACTAGCCAGATTAATTTAAGCTAACCTAATAGGATTAGATTCTTTATTATATATCACAATAATTTATATTTTAATTTAAGTATGAAATAGAAGCCAAGTTTACTTCAGTGCATTTGGAGTTTTTAATATACGAATGTGTTTATATGCTAAACTAACTTATAAAGTTATAGATAGCTTAATACCGACAATAGTTTCAATTGTTCAGAATGTAAATGTAGCATTTGTCAGAATTGTATGTGTGTAATTGATAAATCGATTTTATATGTATTTTTTTTTAGTATGTTATATATATTTATTGCCTATTTTGTTTTAATTCATCAATGTTAAGAGTATATAAAGTATAAATTTTGCCTTTAAGTTTAAAAGTTCCATATGTATTTATAATATAAATCAAAAATATCCTAATATTTGTTTCAATATTTAAGTAAATGAACTTATAACAAAAAAAAAAAAAAAGAAAAAAAAAGATTATGTAGTTGTATAACTGGTACTAGTTAGAAATTTGTGAAATATTATTTTGATCATTAGTGAAACAATATGGCTTTCAATTGAATTCAAATAATGTCTAAAAGTTAAAAATTATTTTTCTTCAACGAAACTGATTTTTTTTTAATATTTAAATATATTGATTTCTTTCTAAAAATAAAATGACCAAAATAATAGCCAAAACCTTTCAAGATTATTGCATTACTGTCTGTGCCGCTATTTATTTATTTTAAGTTATTAAACTGTAAAGAAATCATTTCTAAAACTTAAGTAACATGACAAAAATAAAAAAAAATAATATATATAATTTTAAAATAGTTTTAAGTTTTAAAATAAAAATTCTATTATTATATGTATTTTATTGTAAATTATTAAAATTTTTAAAATAGAAATTATAAATAATTAAAAAAATTTGTTTAACGAAGTTATTCAAAATACATTAGCAATTATTTAAAAATCTTTTATTATATTTGTATAATTTCATTTACATATATATAAATGTATAAAACTAAGAATTATTTTAAGTAAAGTGAAAATAAATAATAATCTAATTTTAGTAGCTAAAAGAACAAATATATATAAGAGATAAAGTATGCAAAATATTTAATTTATAAAATTTGTTTTTAATCTCTAAATGCTAAAATATAGTTTAATTTTGAAACTACAAATTATGTCGAGTAATTAAATAATATATATCAAAAAATATTTAAAATACTAAAATTATACAAAAACAAACATAAATGAAAAAATTGTGCAAAGACAAAAATTTATCTAAATAAAAATACATAATAACAATTTTTTTAATTGTTTCATTTAATTACAAAAAAAAAAAAACTAATAGTTTTTGAAGTACTTGTGTATATTAAGTTTCTATTTAAGGTGATGAAATGGTTTCTTGCAGTTCTTTTGTTTTATATTTCTAAGAACATTTTTTTGTTATAAATTATTTATTTCATTTTGTTAATATCTTTATTTTAATTTGTATATACACATCTAAAACTTTTTTTATATATAATTATTTACATTTTATTTTCTGTATTATTTTATAAATTCTCTTAATTGTCACAAATATTCTTTTTATATATTAACAGTATTAATTGCATTTCATTTATATCTTTAATATTGTAAATTTATTTTACTAATAATTTTTATTTTATTCAATGTAAATCAATTAAGTGGTGTGTTGGTTTCTAGTAATAATATTTAAAAACATTTTCTTTTCGGATTTTCTTTGTTAAAAACTTCTACTTATTATTTTTATATCCATCACATAATTCCGAATAATGTACATAAGCATTTGTCAAGCAATGGTATTTGTAATACCAATTAGGGGAGACTTCACATCGAATACATATACTATATAAAAAACATACGTTATTAGTTTATATGTCTGTCGAACCATTAGTTTAAGTTATTTGAATGAAATTTGCATAAGGATTTGGGGAATCACTGAGGATAAATTTACGAGAAGGATGTGACTGAAACTAAAATTTCAGTTTTTGTAGTAACCCTTTGGAACCTGCTTGTGTAGTCCCTACACAAGAGTTGTTGAACGGCACTTAGCCATCGAGGTCGCCGATGTAGACCCGACCGTTCGTGGAATTAAAATTGTAATTATAAATAGTAAATAATAGGTTTGTAACTTAACTATCTGTGTGAAGGGTACTGAATAATGTTTAAAAAAATTATTCAGCTATTCAAGTTGTTCGACACATAATAAATTATATTTGATCACTCGATCGCTGTTTAGTTTATAACAAAACATATCGTCATTTAAAAATTAACTGCAAAGCAAAGAACATTAAGTAAAAATGAGTGCTTAAAGCTTTTCCATTGCATATGGAAACGAAACAAACGAAAATAAAAAGAAACAAAGCTGTCTTCTTGTTCGAGTAGCTCGAATACTTCGAAAAGCTCAATCATTTTCGAAAATTTGAAGTGTTCGAACCAGCAATTCGAATATTGAAGCAATATTAACCCATTATGTACAAGGCAAGTTTAAACTTGGAATTTTATGGTGAAATTTCCATAGTAAATAGTAAAATAACACAAGTTTAAATAAATAAGAAAAGTTTGATATTTATTGGAAAGATTACTCTCGCTTTATCTTTACCTAACGACTGAAATTTATATTGCATTATATCATCATTATAGTACTAAGGGACCCAACGTGTGGTTAAATAAACTAGACCAACAATGGTTGGTCTTATTTGGCCTTTGTAAAAATTGTGAAAATTAAATATGGCTGGAGCTAAGAACATGGTAACCACGCATATGGTCTGTAAGACCATAAGATGTGGTTCACAAAGGTTTTAAATACATATTTTTAGGGATTTGTAATAAGTTTTAAAAAATCTCTAACATGTAATAACAGAGTCGGGATATACCAACAATTTTTTCTTTGAGTACTCTCTAACAAACTTAAAAAATATTACATTTTTAGTGCTTTAATAATATATATGGATCTTGTATAATTTAAAAGCAGATTTTGCGTATTCTATTATCAAAAGTAATTTATTTTTGATGAGTGATTATATAGTCTTTCACAGAAATGGTTTGAATTTCGAATTCTAACTCATCAGATAATCCCATATGGCCATTTGGTAATCCAAATTTAGCTGCAGTTCATTCCACTACATTAAATATTGAACTATGGGAATTTGTTATTCCAAATATTGTTTCCTATAAATTAATTACTAAGCTTATTTTTTTAGCAATGTCAATGACAGTACTTCATAAGCTCTTTAGATTTTTGTGGAACTATTTGAAGAACCCAGCATATTTCAAAAAGTTTAACTAATTTTTTAAATTTATTGTTTTAGGTAATGATACAATAATATCTTTGGATTCACCATCACCTCCAGAATCTCCAGGTTAGTGCAAAAAAAAACAAAACATTTTGCATTAAAATTAATTTATTTTTTTTTAAATAATGTTTTCAGTTTCATCAACATCAACCCTCAAAATCAGTTCTGTATCATCAACTATTACAAAGTCTACTAAGTAAAAGTAAAATTATATATATTTTATTACTTTTATATTGAGTTGATCAGTTTGTGTTAAATATATTTTATTCTAATATTAATTGGCTATTATAAATATAAGTCGTAGAGTTTATTAATTGGCTGCTACGCATTTTTTATGTCATTGTTATACATAAATTTCCATTTACCAGATGTATATATAAAAATTTTATTTGTTAATTGCTTTTAGATTTTTACACAGTTATATCTGAATTGAATTTGGTTATATTTGAGTTATATATTTGTACCTTAAAAAAATAAGTGTCATTTCAAATTTCTTCGTTCTACATCCAACAAACGGATTTATTAAAATGTAACATTTTAAGAGCTTTTATTAACTTAAATTGTTTTTTACGATTTTTTTTTAATACCTCTTTAATAATCAAATTAATTAATATATGTATAAGAGTACAAGTTTAGTTTTATTAACATAAATATATATAGAAATATAGAAAAGTATAGAAGGACTGAAAGTTTACTCTGCTATAATCAGCATAGGCAATACAATGGCCAATAGACTTAAGTAGATCTTTAGAATCACCGTATTATCCTACCTAGTTAGCATTTATAATATTTTTAAATATTAATAATTTATAATTATAATAGTTTTACTTTATTTTATTTTTATTGATGTAAATTCAATTTTTTATACTATTAGTGCACATATGTTATACATTATTTATTCTAATGTGTTTATAAGTTTTTTCTGTAAATAAGCAAATATAAATTGTAAAATGAAAATATGCATTTTACAACTAATAACATAAAAATGAAAAATCAATTAAATGTTATAAAATGTGCCAAAATAGAATTGAAATTATTTTATTAATTTCTTATCGTTTTTACACATTCAGTTAAGCTATTTATATATAATATTTTACTTTTCATTATTTTATTCATATCTATGCAATTAAGTAAAAATAATTTTGATACTTATTTTATATATCATTATATTATATTTACATTGCCAACTCATAATAGGTGACAGAATTTGCGATCACTCATCAACGCTTAGTCCTCGCAATTGTTTTCCAGTTTCTCATATTTATATCTGTTGTACATCATTGTGAACATAATCAATCCAACTTAGCTATGATTCCGAACTGCAATCATTCAAAAAGCTGGCCAATATATTTTGAGGTCAATATTTACTCCAATTATGTGCCTGTCGAAACTTAGTCTTTCAATTTCCATTATAGTTAAAGTATCTGCTATGTTATAAAAGCTTTTTAGCTTATCATTGTATTGACACCTTCAATTTCTGTTTATTAAATAATATATAATTCTATGCACTTTTATTTCAAAAACCTTTAGTCTCCTCATGTTGCTTTTTTCAGAGTCCACGACTTATCGCTGTGCATTACGACTTTAGCGATGAGTGCTTCGTAAAGCTTAACTTTCAATTGTTAGTTTATTTAAATCACTATTAAATAATCGAAATACCTTAACCTAACCTCTGTTGTTTATTAATGGTTATTTTGTGCCAGGTTAAAACCATCCTGTTAGATGACTTTGCATATTAAAACAAAAACAGAGATATGTAGTAACTAGCTCAAAGTAAAAATGTTTTGTTGATAATTAAAGAAAAGGATTTTAATTTCTTTAGTAAGTATAAATTGGGTGGTTTTAAACATTTCCTAAACGGTTAAGAATTTTTTATATTTAAGTACAAAGGTAGTACAAAGTGTATTAAGATTTGTTTGAGTATTATCAACGCATTACAATTATATTGATCTATTATACCCTTTTACGATTAAGCGCAATGATTTTCTGTTAACCCTACTATAGAATGATGAAATATAAAAATTCTAGAGGTCATTTACTATGTATGGCGTTGGACATCTATATATGAGTTGTCATTGATTTATTGTTTATTATTTTTATTTTTTTAACACTTACAGCTATATTAATTTTTTCTTGAAAAGAGCCGTTCATACTAGTTCTATATGTATATGTTTGCATCCATATTAGATATATACTTTAAGGTGAAGTGAACTGCTTTGGAATTCAAATACATAACTTCAAATTTTATGCATTGGTTAAGCTTAGCAGAATTTTGCTTTGACTATAATTTTAATATTGTGCCCAGAGAACATTTGTCTTATATATTTCTTAACACTTTGTCAGTTCAAGTATTATGAGCAAGAAATAAGAAATGGTTCTAAGTGAATTAAAGACAATGATTGCACTCATTAAGTGATAAATTCATTTATTACTCTGTTAAGTATATTAATTATGATTACTCTGTTATTGTATAATATCCTTTCATGTTATCTGGTTACAGGTCCTAACGGGTTACATGTTGTCTTGAATTAATTCATTGATTTAAAAGCCAGTGTTTGACTATTTGAAGATATGTGAATATTTATTTATTTGAAAACTTCTTTTAGATATAGATAGATATATGCATATCTTTATTGCATTTTGTTTTTATGGAGCTTGAAGAAATGATTTTAAATTTATACTTATAGTTAAAACTAATGTAGAAACGTTACGCTTCTGCTAGAAGTTTGGATTAAATAATATTAAAATTTAGAAGAAAAAAAACAAAAATAATCTATATATTTAAGTTTCTATTATTGTGAAAAAATGTGTTATATATACTTGAAATGTTAATTTAATTTAATTTTTTCTTTTATGTAAACATTTTTTATTAGTAAAGGTATATATATAATTTACTAATAAAAAAACTAAAAATGAAAATGAGAAATATTTTATATATGTATATTGTACTTTTAATTTATTAATTTTTAATTTAAACATTTTCATTTAATTGATTAATAAAAAAAATTAAAACTGAAAATAATATTTTAAACCATTAAAATTAAAAATAAGGAAATATAAAATTATTTTTGTTTAAAAAAAAATTAATTACTAATTAAAATAATAAGATTCAGATACATTATGACATTTATTATATAATCGAATATGTTCCTAAATTTCGGAATTTAAATATGAAAGATCTATTTTATGATTTTGGTACAAAAAGACATTTTTTTTACAAAGCACTTTGGCCATTCGAACTGCAGTTGCAGACATTTAATTGACTAATTAATATATATGAAATATAATTTAAGGTCCTTATTGTTGGGTGTAGCACAACTATTATTAACTATTATTATTATTAATTGTATCATTAAATGTTATCATTATATCCCATTAAAGATCAAATTTAGAATGAAGTTAATGTTTATTTTAAACTTGCAAAATTAGTACAAATTAATCATTTACATAAACAGGCATAGAATTTGAAATACATACATACAAAAATTATACACACACAATTCATATCTAGTTAAGGAAAAAAAAGCAAAATTATTTTTATTTATACACATATATATGTATATATATGTTTTACTTTTAATGGAAGATCTTTAATAAATTCAAGTATTTTTGACATATATTTTATGAAATAAATATGCGAAAAGAAAAATAAATATATATAAAAAATTATAATCTATATTTATTTTATTGTTTTGAAATACTATTGATCGATACTAATATTGTATGCAGAAGAGTTTTTTTATTCAAACTATTGTGTTAAAGTTCGAAACAAAAAAAAAACAATTTACAATGGTTATCGTTATTTTTACAGCTGTGATTTATTATTATGTTGGGCCTTTTGCGAGTTAGTGCATCTAGGCACTTTTACTCTATGATGGCTGGGGGGTTTCTGCAGAGTCCCACCCATCTCACTGACTAATTTCAGTATTCCTCATAATCTTCGTTATTATTCAATGATTGATCTAAGATTTGCGTACCGCTTCGTGCGGTTAGTGATTGCTCTGAGATTAGATAGTGCTAAGTAGGGCAGCCTGTCGATTTTCGCATATAGCTTCAGAGCTCTGTCCATTGTGTATTTTTTGACCGGATCTATTCTAAGGTCTCTTAGTATGTCATTCGTGCGGAGCACCATGGCACTTTGAAGAGCCTTCGGAGAGCCTGACTTTGAGCAACTTGTAGCTTTTGGATAGTAGAGTCGGCAGCTTTGCTATACGCGACACACCCATAAAGTGATTTATGCGTTACTTTTAATTAATAGCACAGCAAGTGCATGGTTGTTTACAAATAAACAAACTTTATATATGAGTAATACAAATTAAGTGTACGTTGGCTCTGTTTCTTGACACGCGGTTCCACAGTTCAAGTTTGATAGTAATTAATTCCTAACATTTAGTGCTCAAAAATTATATAAGGACAATTAAATTAAAAAATGTTTTTAAAGACACTTGCTGTTGATGGATATGCGTAAGAGTTGTATGGTAAGTCTAAGTCTCAATTTGATTTAAAAAAAATAACGGTGATTAATGCAAGATTTTTATATCAATTAGACTAAATTAAAGAAAAAATTCTGGAAAGCACAAGAGGACATTTTATTTCTTTACAACAACACACCCATTCATTCGGATTGAAAATTCATCTATTTCATAATGAGATGTTATCATAATCACGGTATTTAAAATCTAGCCATCTGATTTTTATTTATTTCGAAATTTAAAAAAATTGCTTTCTATGGAGAAGTTTTAATTCAATTTGGAGTGGTAATCTCTGCAGCTAATGACTGTTTTAAGAACATCAAAGAATTTTGTTAAGTTAGTAAGTAATAGAACTCAAATAATAAATTTAAAAGTAAGTACATATTGAACTTATTTTTTGTATAATAACATAATTATATTAAAAATAATAGAGGCCATTATATATAATAGGTTCCAGTTTTTGTACATTTTTCTATAAATTATTATAATTGTTTATTGTTCCTGCTGTACTTCGTACATTGCACCTTGGAGCAATTTGCTGGGTTCGTTTTTCTTATGAAAGCTGAAGTTTTAATGTCAATGGCTTACCAATGGCACTTGGTTTTCTGGGACAAGTCGCTTTAGAAAGCAACTTCTGAAACCATTATAAGTTATTTTTATTTTCGATTAACATGTACTATTTTAATCTTTCTGTTATACCCTACATAAGAGAGAAAATAAAGCATCGTTGCATTAAACCTAAAAGGTTTATATGCAGATTGAACATTATTATAAGCATTCACTCCATTCGAAATCTATTCGTTTGCTAACTATTTGCACAATTGACCTTTACTGAAGTATACAATTGTAGAGATATCTTTAAGTATACCTAGATTTGAGTTTGGCACACTCAATTTCCTCACAACTGCAGTAGCAATTATTGAAGAAAATATTCAATTTAGTAACATGTTTCCTCAAACAACAGTGATACATCACCATTCCTATCATAAGACTGGTAGGTACCCCTATGGAGTATTTCAATGAACTGTTGAAATATCCTTTTATTTTAAAGAGGTCAAATTATTTATAGATATTAGCATATTATTGATCTTTGTCATTTTGGAGTTAAGGAAACACATAGTAATAACAAGTAATTCTGTCGGTAATTGTAAACGCCAAGTACAAAATTTCGACTTTTAAATAATACAGGCCGTTACAATGAATGTCTGACGAAAAAGATTTACCAACGTTAAACTTATCTTTACGTGTTGACCGTCAAAAATTATTATAATGAAAAAATGTTTAATTCGAATGAATGAAAACTTGTTTTATTAATCGAATTATTCCTTAGTCAATATGTGTTTTACAATAATTGTGGCATTATGCCATTACCTTACTTTTTTGGATTTCATGAATTGAAAAATGAAATGAAAACTAAAAAAAGATGATTGTACCCAAGTCGCAATCATTGAACTTTTAACTTAATTTAAAACTCATTTTTGTATTGCAGTTGATTCACTCATTCGAAATTGATTCGTCTGCGTGCTATTCACATATGTGTTGTTGTTTTTGTATTTTCGACTGTTTGAATTGCTCATAAATTGTTTGAAGATTAATCGCTTTTCGGTGCACATATGAAACAGTTTCAAGTTGTAAATGCTTTTACGAATGCTTAAATATGATTCATTGACGTAGTTTGACGTTAAAATATAACAAAGAAGTTCTTTTAAAAATAATTATAAATTATAAAGTAATCATGTTAAATAATGCTTTTGAATACATGCAAATAGATTTATAATCCTTTAATGTAGTGTCGGTGAATGGTACATAAAGTCTGTCGTAATCTTTGTAGCACAGTGCAAAAGTTGTCGGTACTATATAAATCAGTAATAGGCACAGTGTGGCTCTATTGAGACATATGGTTTACTCTATTATTTCATCGATGTACGGTTTATAATAGTTTTTGTATATTTATTTTTGTAATACCATTCACTATACGACTGTTGTAATATCTGTTTTATTATATAATATTTTAATAATTATGCATACAAAAATGTTTAATGTACATTGACAAATAGAGTTATGATATGCAATGCGCAAGGCAATGTTGATCGACAAGCACTAGAAAAATACATAAACAACTTCTGTTCAATTTTAGACCCAAAAATAAAAAGAATAGCAGCATTAGTGTAAATTTTGTTTTAATTATTATAATGTAAATAATATTTTCTGTGTTTTGTTGATATTGTCTTTTTGCTCCCTTGACAGATTTAATAGACAGTTATATTTTTGATTGGTATGATAGGGGGATTTGATATACTTAATGACATCTAATGTCAGTCTGTCTATTTTGTTAATCTTTCACTTATAATGCTTGTTAATACTAGCTTTTGTTGTACTGTAAATGTATACTAAAATCAATCTGTACTTAGCATTGATTTATTATAAGATTTTGTAGTATCGCTATTTTTTGAAAGAAGTGTTCCATTTAGTAGGTTCTTTCTCTTATCAAAATGAAATTTATAATTTTGCTGTTGTTGTTCTATACACAAACTTATTAGATCTGATAACCATTAATTAGCTTTGGTGAATTATCTTACTGAATACTTTTAATACAAAATTTAAATAGATCTATGTCTTATAATTTTAATAAATTTAGAATTATGATTTTATAGCAAAAACGATTGCATTGTCTTTATCATATTATAAAAGATAATATTATAAAATATATCATTTATTATGATAAACGCTTTTGTTTAAAAAAGAAGTTTATTGGATTCAGACATACCAAACAGTCGAATAGAGAAAATTGGAATTTAGATTAGAATTTTAGATGATATTTATATATAACATATTGATATGTATATGTTTATTTTTAGATGAAAATGAATTTAAAAATATATTTTACAAACAGAATTTAACAATTAAAAATAAAAATGTAATTAATTAATACAATTATTTAACAGCTGGTTTATGATTTTGTTTTAGTATAAACAAAGTGAATTTGTTAATAAAACTTTTACAGCAAATTAACAAAACTCCAGAAAAATGTGCGAACATAAAAGTCAAGTATGGCTTTGGGTCAGTTGGTTAATACGCGCTGACTCTGAACTTCAAATTTGGCAGGGCACGAGTGCGATTCCTAGTACTTGCAGTCTCAAAAAAATTATTAACGAATAATTAAATACAAGAATTATTTCCAAGACCACTGATGATGGGTAATTGGCAATACTAGAACCAGCTGTAAGCCAAAAATTCAATTAATTAAAATAATATAAAAATAAATTTTTGTTATTGTAGTTCACCACTTTTCGAAAAAATTTCTTTATAAAACATATCTTATAAAAATATAGTATATATTGTATATATTAAATAATTGATTTGCAGTTAAACGATTTGTATGAAGGGTATTGTAGCTTCGGAAAAGCAAAAGCTTGTTTTTATCATAAAATATGAAATAATTAACTATTCCATGAGTAAATAATTTTAATTAACAATCACTCACATTCTCTTACTCAGAGAGTTAGTGACTAAGTAAGTTTGTTCGAAAATAGTTCAGTTCCATCTGAGTGGTTAGTGTGTCAATTGACCAGCAAAAGCATGGCAGCGCGTCCAATTTTATATTATGCTCAGTTTAGTCCGCCTTCCAGAGCCTGTCTATTGACATCGAAGTTAATTAATTTAAATATAGAAACGAAGTATGCTGAAGCGTTTGTTTAATATAAAAAATAATGTTTAATTCATAAAGGCTTTTTCTGCATCGTACGTCATTTGTTGTATTTCTGCATGAAGCACGTGAGATTTGTTTGTGTAATTGTTCGTCTGTGTGAAACGCGCGTGCCTGTGTTATAAAAATAAAAATAATAAACACAAAAACAAAAAAAATAAATTTATTTTATAAAAATTTTAAATTTATATGTTTGTCAGATATGCAAATTATAGTGATTTTGTTTGATTAGGTTGACATTGTGGTAAAAATGAAAAGTTAAAATAAGAAATGTTTCCCAAGTGATGATACTAGATACATTGTATTTAGTAGGGTTTCTATAAAAGTTATATAGTATAAAATATTTTTATTCAATTTAAAAATCTATATTCTTCACTTATAAATAATGAAGATTGTTTTCAAAGCGGCGGCATTGGATTCCAACCAACAGAGCAAAACAATTCTATTACAATTTTTATTTAGCTTAGGGTATAACTTTAAGTAAAGCGCTTAGATTCGGGAGTTCAACGTCTGTAGAGGTCGAACTGATAATATTAAAATATTAATTGAATTTATATAATTTAAGTCCATTTTCCTACTTTGTACTTAAACCAAAAAATTATTTTTTATTTAAATATTTCAAAAATATTGCTAACAAACTGTTAGGTTCCCGGTTAGTTCAAAAACTCTTCCCACTACTGAGAAAATAATATTTAAACGAGGTTATATATATATATGTATATATGTATGTATATTTTTTTAAGATATAAGAGCAGCCCACATTGAAAACTTATACAATTACTGGATTAAAACAATTTACATATTAATATAATGTAGTGATAATAAGTAGTTCAAATTGGAAACATCTTGAAAACCAAGTTATATATATTTCAGGAATTTAAAAGTAGCTCATCTTAGAAATTCGGCTACTACTAGATCAAAAGTTGATAATAATTTATATATGAATTTTACATATATACGTGTAATTCATCTTAAAAGACGCATCATTACTTGGTCAAAGGATTTAAAAAAAATTTTTATTTCAGGGATTTTCGTGAAGTTAACTTTAGAAATACGAGTAAATGTCAATATTGTGTCAAAAGAATTTATAATATTTTATGTATATATTCTACAGATATGCAAATAGTTCAACTTGACGATTCGTACCATTATTGGAAAAAAAAATGAACAGCACTTACACATACATATATTGTAGTAATATACGAATAATTTAGCCTAGAAACTTATGTCATTACTGGGTTAAAAAAGATTTAAAAAAAAGATTTATATTTCAATGATTTACATGTAGTTAATCTAATGTAACATGTAACATATATACTCTAAAGATATGCGAGTACTTTACTTTACAAACTTGTGTCATTACTGGGCCAAGGGATTTATAACCTCTATTTCAAGGATTTTCGTGTAATTAACGTGTTAATACTAGGTCAAAAGAATTTAAAATATTTTATGTGTATATTCTACAGATATGCGAGTAGTTCATCTTCGCGACTCACACCATTACTGGATAAAAAAAAATGAAAATAAGTTATATACAAAAATTTATTATTTTGAGGTCATCCGTAATAGCACTTTAAGATATATGATCAATTTTGTTCATCTTGGAATTATTATCACTGCTTTAAAAGAATAATAACAGTAATAAAATTAATATTTATTGTCATTTTAGAAATCTACTTACATCATTCATACAACATAATATATCATGACTTTTGTAGATCAATTCAATTTCCACCATTTCAAAATATATTAATATATGTATAATAAATATTCTTAGATCAATTAACTTTGAGAAAAAGGAAAATCATAGTGAATGGTTTCTAAAGGTTTGTGATACTTTTAAATTAATGAATTACTACAAATACATATGGTCCATATAAATTAAAAATTAAATTCACAGATAAATCCACGCCATACAGTACCGGTATTAGTCGACCGTGGTGTATCACTTTCCGATAGTCATGCAATCATAACATATTTAGTTGATCAGTATGGAAAAGAACAACATGAGCATTTATATCCAAAAGATCTGCTTAAGCGCGCTATCGTAAACGAGCGTTTATATTATGAAAATGGAGTTTTATTTCAAGCAGCTAAAGATTTTGCGGTATGTAAAAAGCGATTTTTTTTTAAATTATATTAAATTCTGTTAAGTAATAAGGGTGATACAAACGATTCACTTAAACCGGATGGAGTGTATCTATTGTATTACCGTATACGACTCAGTGACTTAAAATATTTCTGAACACTAAACGAAATATAACGTTAACTAGATGTTAACTAGGACTTCTGCAGTTGACTAAGTTACATTGTGTGAGTGCGGACATCTTTCTTATAACTGTGTATAAATTAATTGAAAGAAATAATATGTTAGTATAGTTATCTTAACGACTGTAACCTGTCAATAAGTCCCTAACAAATCTTCTCTTTTGTATTAAATTAATTTATAAAAAATTAATTAAGTACTCAAATTTATTTTCAGGCCAGAATTTTCTATGGTGGTGAAATTTCTTATAATAATCATAGTAAAAAATTATGCCATAACGCCTATAAATTCCTTGACAAATTTCTAAATCATAGCAACTATGTTGCTGGAGATCAATTGACTGTAGCCGATGTATCTATTAATACCTCTTTAATAACATTGGATAAATTGGTGCCAGTGGAAGAGCAACGGTATAGTCGAAACAAATTTTATTTGTATAATAACAAATTCAGAAAACTAATCTTTACAGATATCCAAAAATTCATACTTGGATGCAACGTATGAAGAATGAGCTGCCGGACTATAAAATGAATGAAGCTGGAGCTCAACAATTGTTTCAACGTTTCGAGGATTCACTTGTTGAGAATATGACAAAACATGGTTGAGATGAGATATTTATATTCTGACTAAAATTTCAATACTAGGGTTTTTGTAAATTAATTACTGTGTAAAATATTTTGTATTGTTATATATAAATATATAAATAAATAATTTGTCTTGTTGGGCTATTTTATTTGACAGAATTTAATGTATATAATATCATATAATATCAATACATATATGTATGTATATGAAATGAATAATATGATATGATATGATATATAATACAATATGTATATAATATGAGATAAAATATGCATATCATAATTGTTTATTATACAATATAATATTGTGGCGTACGTTCCAAGATGTGACGTGGTCATTCGCTATCGCTGGATCCCGATAAGTAATTAAATAGTAATCGACTCTAGTTGTGTATAGCCGTGTTTTTATTGCTCTTAGTTTTTATGAAAAACCAACTCACAATTTTCACCAATCATAATTATATATAAAACTTATTTTCCAACAAACTATTAAATACCTAGAAAACTATTTAATATATTAAGAACTATTAAATTTGAAAATTATTTACTAATTTTTAATTTTCAAATAACAAATAATATTCAAATATCAAATAATATTTAAGAGATTTAGGATTTCTGTGCTACAGGTAATTATGTCCTTATGACCTTAAAATACAATTGACCCTAATTGTTGTGCAGTAAAAATTTCGTCTGTCATATTAGCGACAAGAACTGCAGCTACAAAGCAAAACCAAGCAACCACAAAAAATATGAATGGGTATCTCATCATCTTCCAGGCAGAGGTTACATTCTCTCACATCAGAATGAACTACCTTGTAAAGATGACAGTGTGATTATGGTATCTGATCAATAAATGAATTAGCAACCTCAGTTCTCTTCTACTGAGAAATAGTATATCGAAAGTATAAATCAGTTATTATTTGGATTATAGTCACCAGAAGTAACTTCTTTTGTTTATAATAAAACCGTTAATTAGTGTCCAACCGTGAACCTTTAGAGTTAAATGTTAATACTCCATACTATGAAATATTATCTTAGATTAAATATTACTTTGGATGAAATATCATTTTATTGATTGGCTACAGATTTTTTCTTATCCTTATGATTTTTAATAATATATATTTATTTAACTTAATACGTTTCTATATTTTATAGAGTTTATATTTATTTTTAATAAATTGTTATTACGACAAATATTCAATACATTTTTTTAAATTACTGAACTTACGTTGTTAATCTATGGTCTCTGCTCAACAATAGGAAAAAAATTTAATATATAATTTTCGCTTCCATTATTTGTTCTTTTATTTTAATTTTAATTCCTTTTGATCAATTTAATATGTATGGACCAATAAATAAATAAAATACATATTTTATACAATAAATTTTAGTTTATATATACATAATTTACTTTTTATTGGGTCAACATACACACAGGAGTACTTTTTGCGAAATAATTTTGAATGAATCAATTTGTGTTGCAGTACACAAAACTTGAATTTCAAAGTGTAATTTGCTTTCATGAATTCAATTTGTTTTTGTGTACAATGCTTTTAAAGAAAAAGTTCAAATTTATGCGCTTTAGTCGAGTTAAAAATTTCGTTATAAAATTACATAAAATTGTGCTAAAAATAAAAATAATAAAAACTATAAAATCTATGAACTATCTGGGTGCCTTTTGATTTTTGCACACAAAAAAAACTCTTAATATCACGTATTTAATTAATTTGGCAACTCTGTTTTATTATTTGCTATTTACAAAATTGCAAAATACGATAACAGTAGCATTTAACTGTTGTTTTCATTTTTTGTTTTTATTTCAATTGAGCATTCACTTGCGATGGTTAAGCCGTGTTTGTATTTTGCATTATTTAGTCCGCCGGCGCGTGCTTGTCTGATAACGGCAAAATTGATTGGATTGGATATAGACGTAAAGTGAGTTAGTCACAAAATTTCGGGTTTTTATTTTCTTAACAATTATTTATATAATCTTATTTAGACATGTTAATTTTGCACAAAAAGAACATTTAAGTGATGACTTTATAAAGGTAAATATAACAAATAAATATATTAGTTTTTATGTTTAATACGTATTTTGTTATATTTTCATCAGTTAAATCCACAACATCAAGTGCCGATATTTGTTGATGACGATAATGAAATTTATGTTGACAGGTAAGTAGACTTGCGGACAGACAGGCGGGCATTCATATCGAATTCGCTAGTGTTTATGAGCAACTATTTTATAATATTTTTTAAATATAAAAAATTAACATGTTTATTAAAAAATACTTGAATTCTTTTTACAATTAACTATTTAATGGATTATATTTAATAAAACATTAATAATTTCAAATATTTTAGTCATGCCATCATCTGCTTTATGGTTTCTAAATATGCTAAAGACGACAGTTTGTATCCGACGAATTTAACACAGCGCGCAAGAGTTGATCATCGCTTACACTTCGAAAATGGAGTATTATTTCAAGTTATTAAGGACTTGGTGGTAAGTAAAAAATATATTTTAATAAGTAAGAAATTCATTTTTAATTACTTATGCAATATCTGTATTTTATATATGTTATAAAATATGGTTTTTGGGTTTGATTATTTATGATTTATTAATTTTTATTTTTATTGAAATTGCACCTAGTATACTTAAATTAATTAGCGGTATTAATATGGCATCATTTACTAATAACCATGAAACTTGTATGAATGTCTTTATATTGTTGAGAATAAGTAAAAAGTCTTATTTGTTACTTATAAATTAAGGTGACCAAATGTTAATTGCTTTCAAATATTTTAAATAAGTTCAGGCTTTGTCTCTTCTTCTTGTATACAAGCGACATAGTGCTCACAAATGATTTATTTTGTACTTACAAGCACATCTTAGTAACAAATTCTAACATTAATATAAATTTTGTTTATTATCAACAAAATTCTAAAATTAATTTTAATATTTTCCACAAACTATTTCACTAAATAAAAGTACAGTCAAACCTCTCTATAACGAGGTCGTTGGTGCCTGCAAAAAACTTCGTTATGAAGAGATCTTCGTTATTTAGAGGTTAAATAAATGTTCTTTTTTTAGCTTTTTTTTTTGCATTTTACTGGGAATTATGTACGTCAATTCATGTTTATTCATATAAACATACATAACATTAATCATATATTGGTTTGTATTTATTAATTACTATTTAATTTATTATTATATAGAACTTAAATTTTTAAAATGTGAATTATTTTTATTCAAATCAAACAAATTATGTTTGCTTGTTTGGACATTTCAACTTGTCAAGAAACTATTCTCTAAAAACAAAATGCGTTTAGTCAGTAACTTCATTTGTTGCCAGCACTTTATATCTAATAATTTTGGGTATATTTTTTTAAAAAGGATAGAAAGTTTTGAAAATTTGTATCTATTTATTTTTAGTAGAATTTTTGTCTATTGACGAAAATATGAATATAAATAAAGCATTAATTTTATTCATTATTGGAAACGAATTTAAATCTCGAAAATAGGAACATGTTATTTAAATGGCAGGAAGCAGACCAACATATCAGTAAACAGCACTCATCCGTTAAATCGGATTATTTGGTCACTATGTTATGGATAGTCCAAAATATAATACTAAATATAATTTATTCATCTTTATTCTGGTGTTTAAATAATCCAAAATGCTATAAGAAATAATTGGCTTGTATATTAGCAGACAATAGAAATTAATTTAGTTGTAAGGAGTCTTTAAATTTCTTGGAATGTGTACTATGAAATTAGTACAAATGGGAAACTTCTTCAAGCACTGCCGACTTTATTTTGAACACTCCTCAGCAAAAGATACAACAAATATACTACAAAATAAAATCGTGCGTGCATTCATTCAATGTTTTCGCTTCCATCCTTTAAAATAGAAAAAAATTTGCATGAAAGCCGGCAAAAATTCGATTGTATACGAAGAAAAACGAGCAAAACTGATGAAAAATCAAAATATTTTCATTTCCTTCGCTTCGCTTGTCATTCCTGCAAATGTTTCTATTACACACGAGACTTGGCATAAATATTGAGTTTAACGCGTCCGGTGTCATGTGTCATACGCCAGGCATCTCGTGTAATACCCGATTAAGAAATTACCGTTGCAGTTAGTCCAAAGAGGATAGAGAATTTATTTGTCTATAAATAATAAGTTGACTGTAAATAACAGAGATTTAAATTAAAATTTCCGCAAAATTAAAATTAATCTACATTCTGTAGTTCTTGACATCTATTAGCAACTTCCGTAGCAGTTTCACTATTTGCAAAAAAAATGAACCAAATAGGCTTCCCCAATAACAAGGAACTATTAATAAAATATCAACAAACTAATTTCGACCTAATCTACATATTATTATATCGTATAATACTCTTTGTGAAATTGATCAATATGAATATTGTAGACAAAATACCGTAATTACCTAACTGGATCCCGTACGTCTTTTTTCTGTTCTCGAACCTAAAATTTACATTTCGAGAAACACTTTTCATTGAATATCATAAATGTGTTATTCTGTAAAGGTGATTGATTGATGTTTCTGTATTGTAATTAATAATGATCTAGATACTCTTTTTACATAGAATCTAGTGCTTTCTTATTTTTTATTGTTTATAATTTCTTGTTTTCCCCTGTACATAAAATTGCCTAATAAACCTAATTTAAGGCGCGTAACATTTACGGTGGAGAAGGCGAGTTCAATCAAAAATCTTTAGATATGTGCCAGAATGCCTACGGTTTTCTTGAGAGCTTCTTGCAAAATGGAAAATATGTTGTCGGTAATACGATGACAGTTGCTGATATATCGATAAACACAACTTTGATCACCTTAAATATGTTAATACCAGTAGATCAAACAAGGTTTGTTTCGTTGTGGTTGTTCATGAAATTTTGAAGTAAGCTTTAACATTTTAGATATCCAAATATTGTCGCATGGATGGAACTTATGAAAAGTTTACCTGACTATGAAGATATAAATGTGAAGGGTGCTGATGCTTTATATAAACGTATTATAACGGTGATGGCTGAAAATAAAAATAAATCAAATTAATAATTTAATATGTGAACATTGATACTAAATTGAAGTGGGTTCTGGTGTTATGGTTAAATATATTGTTTTTAAATATAAAATCTATATTTTAATACATTAAAATATTTTAATTTTTGGGTATAATTAAATTTATTTTGTATTCGTTTCTACTAGTACCCAATTTGTTAAATTTCTATTAATTTTTTCATATATATATATATGTAGCTCAATATTAATTGTATAATGTTTTTTAAATAAAAACCAAAATGACCTGTCTTATTAAAAAATAAACATATATAAACATTTAAGCTAATTTTTAAATAATTTCACTCGGAATTTTATAAATAATTTAAATTATTTGCCAAATTTATAAAAGAAAATTAAAATAGTATTTTGTGAAACTAATGGGTTGTTCATAAAGTAATACCATTTTTTTACCAATGAAATTTTTAAATGAAATTTTTTGAAGTCATTCTTTGTGTTAAATTGAATCATTTAAAATGTTTAAATTTAATATAGAATTTAATAGACATTTAATTTACAAAAAGTAAACATTATTGTGTCATTTTTTTTGTAAAATTGATTTGATGGTATTATGTACATATGAGTGATGTGTAGCACACCTGATAAATTAATATTTTATAATTATTTCTAAAAGCAATGCCACACTGGAAATATTAATTTTTTAAGTAAAATGTATTGGTTAATCTATATCAAATCTAAAAAATTTGTGTAACATATTCCCCTTTTTTTTACTGAAAAATCGTGTATATATGTGTGGTGTGATGTGAAGCATAATTTAATTGTTTAAAAGTATTTTATTACTAATCGCAATCAAAAATATTATATGAGAATATTTATAGTATATTCTTTGAAAATGTCAAAAAAAACAACAGCATCCTGACAATTATTGTTTTTCAGTAAAATTTAAAATTGAATCTAAATAAAATATAAAAAATGAAAATTTTTTTACATATTTGGAGAAAATTTTTTTTTTTTAAATTTAACGGTTAAAATTTTGTACTGAATTATAAACAATCTCAATTGCTCAAACAATTTCTTAAAAGTTCAATCAATTATCTTTAAAACACAACAAATTTTAAGTTTCTATCAATTATATAGTCTGAGATATGGCTATTTGAAAATGTGTTCACAATGCCAATTCTTAAATTCCCATGGGTTCGTTCATATCTCCTAGGAAAAAAATTACAAAATTTTCTCCTGTGATACAGGTCTTCTTAAAAAATTGCTTTCATAGAAAGACATATGAGCTTTATAAAATATATCAGTAAAATGTCAGTAGATATATACTTAACTTTGAAGCTTAATACATATAAAAGCAAATCAAACGATAGCCAAGTAGAGGTGTGTTGCCATTGAGCTCTGGAGAATACACTTCTTGCCTATCTATGTTGTTATGGACAATTTCTAAATGCATTATACATATAAACAAAAAACAAACCAGAATTCAGAGCGACATGGCAATCATCAAGGATTATTATGAGCAAGAAATTATTAAATGGATAAATCCAACTTTGTCACTTACTGTCTTATCAACCTCACAGTTAACCCCAAAAAACGAAGCTGAATCGAGTAATAATGAAATGGAGTACTTTTTTTCGCAGTTAATTAGTGTATCTGTGTATAACCAGATTCCCTTTTGTCCAAGTACCCTCTCTCACCCCCTTAGGCTTCATCCTTACACGTAAGGACCGCTCAAGAGGAGCAGGATGTGGAGTTGCTTTTTTGTACATCACACAGTGAGCTAAATTTGCCGCTGTCGAATGACGATTATTTGGAGGTAATAGGGTTGAAAATGTTTATTGGTATAACATCAAGATTCATTAATATAATAAACATCTACCTGACACCCAACACTAGCTGTCCACCGTAGCACACCTCTAGTATTTTTTATCTTCTCGAACCGGACTAGCGTTTTGTGTTGGGGTGTTTGAATGCTTACCATCCTTTGTGGTGTTTCCATCTACCAATTGATCAGAGGGGCCTGCAATTGGCTTCACAAATTGACGATTAATGTTTTAGTGTACCAAACGAGGAACAAATTTTAGTATTCAACCTATTTTATTAAGTATTATCCATTCACTTTATCTTGGTGTAGATTACATTTATATAAATCACACAGCCCATTTGCTGGTATAGTTTCTGCTGGCAGCTATGACTAGCGTTGGTCGTCTCGATGAACCGCGCCTTGAACCTATTTCTACTCTACAGCTCTACTTATAATGACAACTTCCATCTGTTTTTCTGCTATAAACACTTATATGTTACTCATAGATCTTTGTAGACCCGTTAAAAGTATCAAATTTTTCCACCTCGATTCAAGTCCTATTTACGCATTTGGTCTGCCCTTATCCTAAACAACTTTTCCTTTTCTCAATCTACTTTTACCTCATATCCTAACCCTAACTCATGTATTCGTATTGTAATCTTTTTTATTTTCCTTATATTATAAATATACTTCCAGTAGTTACAAGATCATCAAGTGTACTATTATTAGTACCTTAGTTGTCTAGCGATAACTAGTAAATGTAATTTTTACATTGGTTACATAAATGATGAGATAACACGTCTACATATTTTTAATTTTAAATTTAGATATTCTTGAAACTAACCAATATTGACACATAAGGTTATGGAGAAGTTGATCAAATTAGTTATCTTTATTAAAATCCTTTGTCAAATAAGCGAATTCGAGAAATTTTAGAAATAATTCTAAATTTCTATCTGAACGGAAAATTGATAAACATTTATATGTTGTATATTAGATAAAAAGAATATATTGTTGATTTAGTATTTTACAATTTTCTTTAACTTTACTTTTATAATACAATATCTTATTAGCATACAAATGAGTTTTTCTTCTCTCTGTCATATAATTAATTTATTCATATTTTAAAATTAATTTATATTTCATGTTATTTCAATAATTTTCTATATTGACGCAAGTGCTTTTTTTTAAATAAGTTTAAAACTAATATGTATATAAATTAGTTTATTTACAAAAATATTAATTATTTACAATTATTTTTCTTTAAATTTTTGCTACTTCTTTCTCTAAAATTAGTTATTAGTTTTACATATATTCTAATAATTAATTTAAAAAAGGTATCAAATCAAATCTAATTATCTCTACAATATATATTAGAAATTTTAATTTTTAGACTATATAACTATTTAACTATGATACTTATTAAAATATATTTCAAGTACAACATGCTTTATAAATATAAAATATTTTTTTTTAGGTCTTTCATATGTTTGGTTATTTTTTATCTCTAATATCTTTTGTTTTATTTTTCCAAAATATTTGAGTTAGATTTAATGGAAGCAACGTTTTATAATTTTTCACCTAATACTTTTCTAAATTAAGATTGAAGTATATTTAAGAGTTATACGTAATGAATGTAGAGCTCAAAACGTTTGAATCAATACCAGAGTATTGAAAATAATTTATTTTTATTTTGTATGTACTATATAACTATATAATTATTGATTTTAATAAGAATTATATATTTGAAAATTGGACAAACTACTGATAAATTTTAATTAACTGATATTTTTGATTACTTTTAATTTATACATATAATAGATTTAATAGGAGCCTTATTATTAATAATATTCGGCCGATTATAACATTAACATAACTGCAAGTTTTATTTTCTGTGTAGAATCTAACTTTGTAGAATCTCTATTTTCTATATTTGGCATTTAAATGGAAAATATCATAATTTTTATATATATATAAATTTTTTTTTTTGATATTACAGTTTACAACAAACAATCCAATTTTAGATTTCACAATTTGAGTTGTTATTATAGAATCAGCAAAATACTATATCTGTGTATTAATATTAAAATAATGTATAATATCTAATTATATATTAAAATAAACATGGTTTGAATATCCTTTGTAAATATTAGTGCTTCAAAGTATTCGACATCAATTCCGTCTAGAGTCCAATTAGTTGACGTCTATTCGAATTCGAACATTTGCTATTCGAATAACGAATCTGTTTTATGTTTTATTTTAATTGCACACAATATAATTGAGCGTCTAAACTGGCTTGATTTTAGCAAGATTTTTATATTCGAAAGCGAATATGCAGTATTTTCGAATTTTGTCTTCGAACAAAAACATATCAAAGACTTACCAGTCAAAATAGTTTTGTTAAGTAAGAAAATATCAGAATTTGAGCCTATTAGGAGTAAATATGTGCATATTTGTTTAAATGAATAAGCAAATCCTCATAAAAATAACGTACCAAAACAGTAGTAAAGGAATGAATTTGACAAATGTGTTATGATATTCATATATATGTAATAATACATATATAAAATATATATAATATATACAATAATATATTATTATCGGTATAACATGCCTTTTGGTCATGTCCAAAAAGAGCCAAAAAATTGAAGTAATTATTTGTCATATAACTGTCTTTGGAAGATGTTCGTAACAACAAATGGTGGGGCGTCGAATGGCATTTGAATATATTCGAGCGACTTGGAGTGCTGTCCAGTTTAAATTCTAGACATTTCGAGCAGTTAGAAAAATATTTGAAGCACTAGTTTAAATAAAAAAATAAAGTTATTTTTAATATACAGTTCGGAACTAAGTAACAATATTTTAAACTAAAATAATATTAATTAGTTATTAACCAAATAGATGTAAAATATTATTACAATATCATGTAGATCTTTTTAGGGCCATACAGATAACATAAAAGCCGTGTTTTATTTTAAGTGCATATCTCCATTAGTTAGTGCTAAAAATAAGACTCGCATATAATGCTGTAAAATATTGTGGCAACGCTTATATATCGATATTATATGAATTTATATTATTTTGTATGCGTTATCGTTCTTGCAAAACGTAGATATATTTTTCTATATGTACGTGTGCGAAGTTAACGCTTTAGACAAAAATTAAGGAGATATACATATGCACCAGAAATAAAACACGACTAATATTAACAATCATGTATCTGTGTAACATTTATATGTAGTTTAGATCTTGAAAGTATACATACATATTCTGTAACATCTAACTCTTTAGATACTAGTATTATGTATTAGAATTATTATATTGTTGTTAATTCCTTTTTCTTTCTATAATTTGTTTACAATATATTCCTACATTTATATATCAAATTGGCGTTGTAAATTATTTTTATAAATGAAATGCTTGTCACTTCGATATTTAATTGCTTCTTCGTACAAATTCGTACATTCAATTTAGTGTAAACCAATATGTCTTAAGCAGCAAATAATAAATACAAATATAATTGACTATTTTAATTTGGTATAAAAATTGTATCAAAATCACACCCTGTATTTAATAATTTAATTGTGAAACAATTGAATTATAAAATAAAAATAAAGACAAATATATAAAGCAATCGATAAATTGATAAACATAAAATATAAAAACCTTGAATTTAATCAAAGGTCGTCCAATTGCTCATGCCGGCCGTTGCAAATGCAGCTGTGCCATTGGTATTATTTGTGTTTGAAGTGCTGGGCGTTGTCGTCAATGTAAATTGATCTAAACCATATTTCCGCAATAGTTCAAAGTCTTCATCCGGTGGTGGCATGGGCGGTGGCAAGCTTGTTGGCAGCGGTGGCGGTTTTACTGTTGGTGGCTTTAATGGTGGTTTCGAATAATCAGGCAAATAGTATGGATATAATGGATTGCTTACGCTTAGTGTGGTCATCATTGATGCGGATGCACCTGCTGGCAATGTTGTTGATTTTTTATTATTGACAGCCGATACTGGAAATGGTCGTGCATTTTGATTAAGTGGATCAAAATCTTCCAAATCAAAACTAGCATTACGGCTATCGTCCAGCGATATTAAATCTTTCATTGAGTCTCCAGTTTGTGTTGATGATATAGGTGAACTATTTGCTGCTTGTCGATTATGTGGTTGTAAAGAGCGAATAGACTGCATAGAAATATACAGAGTTTTATTAAAAATGTGATTCTAACTAGTAACGCGTGCAAGGAAGTAAATAAAAAGAAAATAAAAATGAAAAAAGTATGTTAGTTATGTGACAAAACAAATAATATAGTATAATTGTGTAAATATCGAAAGAGAGAAAAGAAACTTAATATAGACGAAAACTTTATAGTTAAATAAGAAACAGTAAAGTGGATGACTTAAATACACAAAAAAAAATGAAAGTACACAGATACGCAAATTAATTTGAAAATATTTAAAAGTGCTAAAAAAATTATTATATTCTTAAATATTGTAAATTAATCCATTTATTTTACTGATAATGTTTGGATTATTTAATGGAAAGGGTGAAACTTCTACAGGATCACAAACCGACATATGTCTACAGGACTTTATCCCAATTTTAGTGAGGACAATGAACTATAAAAAAAGATTTACTGGTGAACATATCTACGTTACCATTTCAACAATGCTCTCTAATTTATATTTACTTCCTATTGGGTAGTATGCGATAAAATATATGAGATGGATTTTGACATATGGATTTTTGTAGCAGAAATTCTTTCATTTTCTGCAGCTTCGTCGCAGTTATCTGTATTTTGAACGGGACATAAGTACCAACCACACTATATTTTATAAAAGTTTGTCAAAACTTAAAAATGACTTCAGCAGAAAAGAAATAGCATGGGCTTCGAATAAACGACACTTGATTGTCTGAAACGCTAAGTAGTGTGCTGTCAATCGTTCCTGGAATAACAGTTACTTAAGTTACAGTCATGATTCAGAAAGCTTCCATGATGTATTATTAGCAGTAAAGATATACAGTGAGATATACTTTATTGTTACTGTCACAATGCAGCTGGGAGTAGTAAGCGGCAAAAACCGCTGAAATAGATGAGTGACATAGAACCGGTTGCTCCTAAAACCAGGTATTTGAAACAGTAGTTATAGTAATAGTAATGTTTAATGTATAGTAATGTTTTTGGGAGAGATGAACGGTACTTAGTCATTGTAAAATATGAGTGAGATAACATAGAACCGTTCATTCTTGGAACTATGTTTATTTAATTTGATGATACCAGATATTTAACTGTAGTGATAAATTTATATTTTTTGATTTGAAATATTGGTTCAAAGGGGTTAGTGTTTTTAAATGATCAGATTTATCGATAACCAGAGTTCGTATTTGCATACCCATGAGCGGCTCATTTCGGCTCATTCTGCTCACGGCTCATGAGCCGGCAAAAAACTCTTTTCATACGATGGCTCACGCTCACGAGCGAGCCCAACTACAGAGCTCACCCTCACGAGCAAGAGCCGCCATTAAGTTATAAATGGGCTCACGCTCGCGAGGAAGAGTATGAGCTGCGGCTCATGAGATCTCATGCGCCCAATTTAAAATTTTATTATTATTTTTTTTTGTCAAAACATGTCATTAAAAAAGATTTAAAATATTAATAACCTTGAACTAACTAAAATATGTAAATAATCAAAGTTCTTAAAATAAACAATAAATATATTTGTATTGTTTATTTGTGTAAAATAATAATATTTTATAAATTTGTTTTTCAAATTCAAATTATTGTTTCATTAAATTGTTTTAATATAAAATTATATATTTTCACATATAACGTTTATAAAGATACATAAAGCAAATAAACTAATAAATCGCTTTTTATTAAACAGTTGAGCTCGTGAGCTCTCGGCTGTTGAGACCTCATGAGCAGCTCTTTAATATGAGCAACTTGAAGGCTCACGCTGGTGAGCAGCTCTTCAATGTGAGACAATTTTGGGCTCACATAAGAATTTGCTCTTGCTCATGAGCCTGAGCTGCTCATGAGTGAGCAAATACGAACCCTGTCGATAACACTATATTTCAGAAAAAATATGTAGACAATATCCCATTTTTTTTAATTAAAATAAATGAATCGCAAGTATTTTGAAGTTAAACAAGAATTTTTTTTAACTATAGACCATACTTTAAATGGGTGTAGAGTAGTAATAATAAAAAAGTAATTTGAGTTGAGTTTAATGTAGCACTGCAATCTTTGCTAGATAAGCCATGTAGTGAGTATTATTCAAAGTGCTAAGCACAGATTTTGAATTCCCATTAGGCAGAAATAGAATAAACGTGCAATACTCTTCAATAAAATTTTATTTTTTAATTTCTACATTAACTCACTTGTTTATAATGCCTGGATAAAAAACTATGATATTCAACTGTAAATAGATTTAGTATATACATTATAGTACACCGAGATTCTTTGGAGGCAAATTATAAAACGTGTGGGCACTTGAACAGAGAAATTAAAAACATCCTCAGTGTTTACTTTAGATCTTACAATTAAATGAAGTCAAACTAATAGATACTGATAGTACTTATATCCATTTTGCTAGAACAATTGTTATAAAATTTCATATAAAAAATATGTACAATGTCAAATTTGTGGAACACTTTTCTACACGTAGTTTTATATAAATTTTCTGTACGAAATGGACATAAGTACTAGGCTATAGACGACACTGGTAATACATGCTTGATACCAATATTAGGATGGCTTATGTTTTCTTAGTTAGTGCATAATTGAAATAATAAAATAAACTAATTAGAAAATTTGCACAATATTATGTATGTGGGTTAGTTATTAAAAGTTAAATGATGAAAGGATTTAGTAACGTAGGCGCACGTAGTTTTAACTTTCGTACGCAGTAACGTGAAGATTAGTATGTTGGGGTTGTACCTCTTTTTCTTTTTTAAGTCTTGGCGCTGGCACTGGCATTTTTGCAATATTATTCGGCGATTGCTGATGAGATAATGTTGATGAAGCCGACACAAATGATGCACTTGAATCGGATGACGATGTTGTGGAATTATTTGAGGATGATGAGCTACGCAATGCATCTTGTTCAATTAAGCTATGATCCGCATAATCTTGCCAGCAATTACGTTCGAGACGATGTATGCCTGCATGTACAGCTGCAGCTGTAGTCGCTATAACATTGCTATTATAATTGCATTGTCGCCTCGGTGGTACTGGTGGAGATTGCATATCCGGAGGATTATCAAATATTGAATCGGTTGTAATGATTTTATTGGGTGTTGAGGTGTGTACTGGAGTGTGATTTTGTGCTGTTGGCAGTGAACGTGGCATTTGGGGTGGTTTCGTATCAATATGTGAATGTGCGAGTATATATTGCAATGGAGTTTGTTGTCGTTGTTGTTGCTCCTGTCGTAGCTGTTGCTGTTGACGTTGCGCTAGCTGCGATGTGTAAGGATGATTGTAATATGAATGCGGCATTGCATTATGATTGGGCATTGTTGATTGTAGCGCTTGAGCTGATGGTGGTGGTGGTCTGGCTGGTGGTGCTCCACCAGTACGTAATGATGATATGCGATGATTGAGCTCTAAGCTGTTGCTTGGCTTAAGCTAAGTATGTTTAAATGTGTGTTGATATGAGTTGTGATTGTGTGGTAGTTGTCATTAAAACAATGAAAAACGTCACAGATATGTGCAACAGAATTATAATAAAAGTAAAAAATAACAGACAAAAAAACAACATTTAACATAGATTTAAACACGAAGCACATTTATGTAGTTAATAGCAATAGATATTTTAAAGCGATTACAAAGTAATTATAAAAATATTCATTTAAATAAATACTATACTTCTAAAATGAAATTAATGCTGGAAACTTACACTACGATCCACAATTGGAGATTTAAAGAGCGGATGATTTTGCAGTTCTTGAGATAAATTCATCTCCGACGAACAGAGCGAACTCGCCGGACTAACAGTTGGAGATGAAGCCAACCGATTATGGTGATGAGAAGTATTAATCGCACTGCCCGTATGACCGTTCGAGTGTATGTGCGAACTTGAGCTAGACATGGCCAACGGATTGGTCCTGCGCATGGATTGTGTGGCTCCATTTATTTCTTCAGGACTGGCGTATTGAAAACCACCAGCAGTTATTGAGGGTAAATTGCTGCCACTGCCACAGCCGGCAACCGTACGCTTGCTAAATATAGGAGAGCTTGGTGCTGAATGATGACCAATTACAGATTTGCCACCTACGTAGCCATCAATGCGATCGTGTTGAGAATTTGAAGCCAAATGTGAACGAAAATGTGGATTACTTGGCGGTGTAATATCACGGAACTTTGATTTGAGATCTTTATAGGCTGTTTTTACGCCACGTGAGCCTTCTTTGACCTAAAGCAATGGGTGTTAGTATAAAGCAAATTATTAGTCAATACACATAAATACATATTTAAACAAAGCGTACTACGTTAAGACTATATAATATTATTAATACTATTAGACTAACTACTTCAACATTATAACCACTCACCGATTTTACAGCAGACTTAACAGCAGGATTAGTCTGCAGATTTTAAGTAAGTAGGCGTTTTGAAATTGTTTATTTGATATTCAAAATAGCACGTTAACAATAAACGAGCAAGTGAACAACAAAATTATGAACGCAGCAATTTTTCGGTTTTTTTTATTGCCAACAATTATCCACAGCAGAGTAGCAAATAGGAGAAAATGTTTTGTGATGTGAGCAATAATTTAACACAAACATGAAAGAATACAGAAAAAATAAATTTTTAATATTAATGATTAATAACTATAATTCAAAGCTAAGTGTGTGCTTCTAAATGTATATGAATACCGAGATAATTGATAATGATAATGATGATGATGTTGGTATATAGGAAAGGTAGTGAGTTATGATTTCATACAGCACATTTTCTGCTTCAATAAGTACTAGTATAAACCATTTTATCATATAATGACACAAAAATTTTGGCATTTTTATAAATAAATCTACGTGTACAGTTAATTTAAAAGCTTAAATTTTTCAATTTTTATCAAATAAATTTTATTTCTTTTTGCTTCAGCAGTTTTGTTAAATTCATTGCCATAGAAAACATTTACTTATAAATGAATAATGTGTGGAGTGAAGTGCAGAGTAAGTACTTTGGTATAAGAATTCAGAATACAAATATTGAAACCAAGCACCATCAGAATGTGTTTTAAGGATTAATTAATTAAAACAGTTTTAATAGTAAACGAAAAGAAAAATATTTCTTATCTCAAGGTATTATACGCAGTATTTTTAATTAAGGGAACAATCTTTAGTCATGTTGTTGAGTTTCACACGAAACAATGAGAAAGTATTTTTCAATAAAACTTAAGCCATTAAAGTTTGCATGATATTAGAGATCAATATGAATATAGGATATATCTATAGCTGAAGTTTAAATATTTCATAGTTTAATGTAGAAAAAAATTGCAATTTAATAATCATGTTTTTAAAAAAAACTTACAGAAACTAATGAGAGAAAAAAAAAAATTCAAAACTTTCTAAAGAATATTTATATATAATAAAAAGGAAATTAAATTTTCTTTCTTCCTTTTTACTACAAAAAAAAAAACTACAGAGATTAAAAGGGATACCTAAGGGCAACCAAACAATGTAATAAAGTGCTTATAAAATCTATCTCCTATCTTCTTGGTCGAGATAATTCATTTTAATCCAAAAATGTTGGTTTTAGGTTAAATAAAACCGATTTAAAATCGAATTAGATAAGACTTGTTATCTAGCTGACTGACATCTTATCAATATAGTCATAGTATAGCAACAGTTTTGAATAATCAAACACACCAAATTAAATTTAAAGAAATCAATTCTAAATATAGAAGATAAAAGAGAGAGTCACCATAAACATCTTCTTCTATATTCCTTTATTTGTATAAAATTTGCCAGGGAACTAATATATTTTACAAGGAATAAAAGTATAAGTCCTAAAAAACTTTGTTTATCCGTGTGGATTAAAACTATTATGTAGAATAATATCGGCTATTGTAATTCTTTTCATATTTCCTAATATATATATCTTCACGGATTACAACAATAACAATATAACTACATCTATAAATATAAATTTATTTTTTATAAATTTATAATTTATAGATAAATAAAATATTAACAGATTGAAAAGAAGTTCAAAATTGTAAAGAATAAGGAATTTTTTTCATCTCAACCCAGATTGTTTCAAAGATATGATAATAACTTCTGAACAGTATGTACAGGTAGTGTACGTACTGGCAGTGTAGAATACTTAGAATTACTTAAAAAACTATTTCAAAAAGGGTTTTGTGAAATGATAGTCATATGGATTGGATTTATAAATGAAGACAATTTTTAATGTATACACCATATATAATACAGTTATCAAACAAATATGTGAAAAAACTATAATTATCTGGTGGAATATATTAAAGTGAGCTGTATTGGTCCCAAGAAACCAACTCTAAGAAAATTATTAGTATTATTAAATTTGAAAACTACAGTGTTAGACTGAAATACGTATTTATTTCTAATATGTGCTTAAACTGTACCTCAACGCCCTTACGCCCCCCCCCCCCCTATCTATTGTCTTATCACACTGCATACACAAATCTTCGTCCAATCGACCTTTGGACCTACCTCATTGAAGTGGTCATGTTTCTCCATTTGTCCCACAGGTTGATTTTAATTTAAACCCCACCCATCTCCAATATGCATCATCTGCCTAATTCTCCGTATCCTTAATCAACTATCAGACGTCCACATCCTAAACCATGTATTCGTCTTGTAAATCCCTTAATGTTCATATTAGAAACCAGCGAGCTACAACAACCACCAAGGCACATAAACCACCCAAAAGGGACATAAACAACCACATTCTTACGAAATGTTAAATGATATTTAACCAGGAGATTATGGCGTAAAAGAAAGGTTATAACAAATACACAAGCCAATTCTAAGAACTGCCTTTCAACAAACAATGATGATGCCAAACAATCATCACTAACACACGAAACAAAAACAATGTGGTGAACTAGATAAAGCCCAGGTTCATTGATGAATGATATTCAACCAGTAGGTTATAGTGTAAAAAACGGTCATAACAAAATACACTAGCCAATTATAAGAGTTAAGCTTCAACAAACAATGATCTGATTAACTAATATGAGAAACAATAACAATGGGGTGAATCAGCAATTGAACTGGACATTCTGGTTCAATATGGAATATATCCACTGTATAAAAGTGGGACGTACTAATAAAACAATGTGATTTTTTATATGATAGGGAAGAGAACTACAAAACAATCAACAAATGAGCACATTTAGTCGTAAGTAAAAAAGATAAAACATTTTATAATTACAAATAAGTAGCAGACCAATATGATGCGTTACCAATTACTTTTATTCGTGATCCGTACTGCTTTAGCAAAGAAGATTTAGATCATTATTTACTGAGACGCAGCTAAGGGAATGGAATTTTAGAGGTAAAAAACTTATATATTTACAAAACTGCATATTATCTTATATACTAAAGTAATATTGTGATTTTATTGAGATCATCATATTAATTTCAGTTTAAGAGGTGACAAAATGTAATTTCCAAAAATAATATTTATACAAAAATTTAAGTGAATTCAAGTAGAAGACAATTATAAGAAGACAATTGTTCTGTGAATATGTTCTGAAGTGCAAATCTATACAAATTTTTGTGTTGTGCTCTTATTGCAATACGTGCCAGTGTTAGTTAATTACAAAACAACAAAAAAAGATTTGAAAAAAAAAAATAAAATAAAATATAATTTAAAAAGCAAACTATTACTACAATATAAAATTACATTAATTAAATTAAAAGTTATTACGAACTTTTTTCGCTGTTGGCAACGAGTCGACTAATATTGTTATATATTAAATAACAATTTAAAATTTTAAGTTGGTAGGAGTTGTTTTTTTTCATTTTTTTTTTTGTTTTTACAGAATATTTTTAATTTTTTCTTAAACGTATTTTTAATTGTTGTAGGTTAAAATAGATAGGAAGTACTTTGGTTTGTAAATACTCTTGAGATACTGCGTTTACCCAAACTATACTGTAAAAAATAATAAAATGATTAAGAATTTGAAAAATGCATCAAAGTATAGAAAATAATAAATATTATATGTTTATTAAATAAAATATTTATATATATGTAGATTTGAATTAACAAAAAAATTGTTAAAGCAGAAATGGTGAAAAGGAGAATGCTTAAGCTGTTATCTGAGGAGATATTTTCGGTGATAGAACTAAGTAAGTTACAGATTGCTACGTATATATACTATGCTATATATAACGCTTACCGATTTAAGGTTTCTTATCCAAAAACGTTTAGTTAACAGCTTAAACAAAAGTAATAGGAATATAGTAATTGCATAATTTATAAAACATTTTCATTGTACGGATATCATTTCTGTAACCAATAAGTCTATTTGTTCAGCTAAAGGATTTGAAAAAATGAATATAATACAAATAAATACGCGGATTAATAACAATACTTTATGTAAAAAATAATATGTCGGATTATAAAAAAATATCACTGTTAAATATACACAAAATATAAATCTTTTTTTTTTACAATATGGTACAAAATTAATAATTGGTTGTATATGAGTGCTTTTTGTTGTGTATTGTAAGGTGACACAATATAGAAGTGTATATGCATATGTATAAAGGCTTTTTAATAAATAATTGAAACAATGATTGAGAACAGTTTCACCAAATATAACAAGACAAAACAGCTAAAGCAACTTTCACAGCCAGGCACATAAAAACCAACTACATATATTTGTAATTGTTAATAGCCTAAAAGCATTTCGTATAAAGCATCATAAGATCTATTTTTTCTTATTGGATTTAATTTTCCCATAAAAATATTTGGTTTGATTAACGTATATCTTACCTTGTCTTTAACGGTTCTAATGAAAGCTAAATTTCTATTTCGTTTCTTCATTTTTTCAGCATAACGCACAGTTTCCATTTCAAACTCATCCGAAAATCCTAAACCTGTATTAAGCATTTCCAATCGTTCATCGATAAATTGTTGAAATATTTGTAATTCCATCATTTTCTCTAAAAACGGTCGGATATGTGATGGACGAGATTCTATGAATGTTTTACGGTTAAAACATTTGCCTACATCATGAAACTCAACAGCATCTCGATAGCCTCCGATTAATTGTACTAATACACCAAGAAAAATTTTTGAAACTCGATCTCCTACGTGTTCACTTGAATGGCTTAATTGTTTCTTCAATTGTGAAACAATTTCAGTTGGCAACTCATGTACGTCATCGAAAGGACTTTCAAATATTTTTGTATCACAGTTTAAAATCACAACTTCACCAAGTTCTTCGGGCATCATCTATAATAAATAATAAAATGTTAATATATATTTATTTATAATTAAATCATGTTTACTAAAAAAAATTGTACTCACAGTATCTAGGACCGATTTTGGTACTCCAATCAGATATGGCATGGGGGCACTTAAATAATCCTTAAGTTTCATAGGAAGTACTGGTATAAATATATGCTGCCATACCATAGGATACAAAAATGCGTTTGCTGCTTGTATACATGACGATAATTTATCTAAACGACGAGATGTAAATATTATTCTGCGTTCTGCTAGCATTGCAGCGAAAACGGCTATCATGTTCTTTGGGTCGACGAAATTATAATACAAATTTAAATTATGCTAAAATTAAATAAAAAATATTTATTAATATTAATTAAACTATTGTATATAGTAAAACTTACGTTTCCAGGTATACTGGGAAGCTGAAATTGTAGTGGCCTTTCAAATACAAAAGTCTAGAAATATAAATAAATTAAAGTTACAATTAAATTGTTTAAAAGCAATTTAAATAAAATTTATTTGTAAAACTTTTTTAGAAACTTACACTTTGTCCTCCATTGTAGTATAATTTAAGATCACTACCTGGTTTGGGCACACCGCCATTATATGCTTCAGCTATAAACGTACGAAACTCATCTCTGCTTGTTCGTCGTATTTCAGCTAATACTGTTAGGAATCGTAGAAAGGTATCGTGCCATGGTAAAAATGTAATTAATACCATTGCGGTTCCCGTTTTGGGATCTTGTCGACAAAACCCAAATCTCCACTTTGAGTCATCTGTCGTTAGAACAAACGAGTACGATTGCACGGATTCACTACAATTAAAAGGAATATATTAATTATAAAAAGTAAGTGGCATATTTAGAAGAGATTAGAAGATAATCATATTTTAACCCAGGTCATATAAAACATAATATAAAAATTAAGTGGACTGCAAAAACACCATCGTATAATATATTTTAGAGTATATAGCTCTCTCTTGGTACAATCCGGAATATGTCACTAACAATGATTGTTAGCAAAATTTGAAAAACCAAAATTTTTTTAAATTATAGAAACATATCTAGTCAAAGTGGCGAAGTAGTAATACCGAGACTCAATCTAAATGTAGATTCCTAAAATTAAAAATGAGACAACTAACAAAATAATTTTACGAAATTTCAGATCTTAAAAGCAACTTAGAAGCAGAAGTTTCATTTAGGATAGTGGTTGTGTTCATTCCGCTGATCCACTCTTTAACACTTAACTTATCACTCCCATTAAAAATTAACCATTCGATATAAAGACGACTCAAGCAGACAGTTTCTAAGAAATACTGAAAAGACCACTATAATTTATATTATAGCAAATTATAGCAACAAGTTCGAAACTACGTTCAAAAACCATGGGGTAAGCAGCAAGAGTAGAAATTAAGAAACATAATGACACATATAGATAAATGGAAACAAAATCGGCACACTTTTATCCATGTTTTTCTACCTTGATCCAGACTAGTTTCAATTATGATCCATTGATCCATTAATTCCATCTTTTATCTTATCCCAGCCAACCAAATCCTAACTTATATTTGTAATTATTTACATGTCCCCTGCTATATAGATCTGTTGAAGCCTGCAACAACACTGTCGATAAGAATTATAACCCAATCCTGTTTTATGCAGCACAGATATATATATATAATGCAAAATAATTTGGTTGCTAGGATAAAGTTAAAATTCTCAGAGACTGAAGGCCATTATATGCAATAATATAGAAGTGAATGGTTTTTGATGATAACCGTTCTGAAGGGCTATAAACCGACTCCATTCACGAACATGGAACAAATGATATTGAATACCCGTTGGAAAAAAAAAATGAGAGTTTGTTAAGAATGTAGGTGTTGACAGCGGCTACTTTTTGTTTTCAAAATTGAAAAATTTGACACGAAATTTTATAGTCAAATCAAAAGGTATATAAAAGATATATAAAAGATCTTAAAGAAGTACGCTATTCTTATGTACTGCGAAAATTCTAAAAAGTTGAGCTCAAAACTTTTCCTGCATTGCTGGTAGATCTTAATACTATATATAATACAACAACAAAAACCCGATTTTAATTTTTAATAATTTTTACAAATAGTTTTTTGACCGGATTAGGAAATTGTTTTATTTGTTCCGTAAATGTAGCTGAAATTTGTCAATTAATTAATAAAGGTATAAAAATCCTAACTAGTTTTATTACAAGTTATATCATTGACTTCATTGTCGAACATATTCCGTGAAATAATTTCAGATGTATGTGACTAACTTATTTATACTAATTTATTATCTACACAAATAACTTGTCGTTATTAAACTAGATACCATACGTCATCACAGAGATAACAATTAAAAAAATTAAAAACAAAATTTTTACGATTTTTCAAACAGATAAGCCCAATGAAAACGGTAAGTTTAAGATTATTTTTGAGAAGTTATTCGTTAGTCAGAGTGGGTACACGTTTTTTACTACAATGAAAAGAAAAACCTATTTCGTTCGTTACCTTCAAGCGCTTCATTATGACCAAAATGCCGCCACAGTTGTGAAGTTGAGTAATAAAATAAATACGAAACGTGAAATACTCATATATTGGTATGGTTAAACAGCTAATGATCGAAATTTTTGCTCTCCATATGAGATACATTCACTTTTTCTTTAATTGGAAATAAAAACTTATGTGATATATAAAAAACAAGCGTGTATTAAAAAAAATCTATTGACAAACATATAAATAAATACGCACTAGTCGGTTGGATGACTAATAAAATTGATTGTCTTAAAACCGCCGAAATCGTTTGAATTTTGGTACGAGTAGTAAAACGGTTTAAATAAATTCGTACTTCGGGAGTTATTAATTGGAAGTTAAACACAAAGTGGGTCAAATAGTGTTGACCACGGGTGGTAAACATTAGATAATGTCAATTAGTGTTAGCAAAATTTTGCACAATCAATTAGACTTTTGAAATATTGTACTATAATTAAATTGATATAATATTGTATATAATTAATTTTGATTTCGGTAAATCGTAAAGATAAAATGCTGTTTTTAACTTTTTTTGGAAATTTAATTTATGATTTGTTTTAGTAGTTTTAAACTACTAAATTTTATGTTATAAAATTTAAGCTTTAATCTTTTCTTTAAAGGATTAAAATTAATTTGAATATATTGAATGCATATTTAAAAACAAGATTTCTTTTTTTTTCTTTTTAAATAGGTAAGCTAGGCTACTCTAGCTATGTTTAACAAGTATACAGAATGATAATAACATGATAATAAGTGCAGTAAAAAGAAATCCATTAGTTTCCATAGTTAAAACGATCCGATTTCTGTCAAATATGCGCCGTTTTGTTACATAACTTGTTGTCATTTTTAAGGTAATTATATTTCTCATAGAAGTCCATGTTCCAATTCGCCAAAAATTGAGACAGTCGAATTTTCACCTCTCTTGAAGCAAATTTTTCACCAATAAAATCGTCAATCGTTCACCATGAACAGGAACATATGGTAATCACTTAGTACCAGGTCTTGACTATAAGGTGGATATAATAAGATGAACAGTACCAAGTTCCGTAGGGGACCAAGTCATAGTAGATGATTCTCTGCCAATCCCATCAAATACACAGCAAAAGCTTTCTGACTATCAATCTTGGCTTGGCAATTCACCACGACTGTTTTCGCTTGCGTTAACCTGTGTGACACCCATACACCGAACTTTTTTTTTGCATCCATCATTATTGAAATAGTTCCAAGCGGTTTTTTGTACAATCTTTTGGTAGCTCTTTTTCAATCGAAACAGTGTTTACACGACAACAGCAGATCGGACGTGATAATTTTCATGATTTTATAAACACTTTCGACAATTGGTCTTCCAATGGGTGGTGCATCTTTGACATCGAAATTACCGGAATAAAGAACGGATTCGACGGAACCCAAATTGCCCATAATTAGTTATTACAGTATAAGGACCAACTACTCTATTCACATTTTCAGCCGCTTTGCGTTTTCACCGTTATTCAAAAAAAACCTGTAAAATGTGGTATCCCATTTAACCAACTATTTGAGAAAGCAAAAGAACTATGAGTATTTCTACACAAAATTTCGATTGTGTTAGGTTTACTCAAAAAAACTATCGTAAATGGTGCTAAGTGGTACTAAAATATTCGTAAAATATTGCAAATACATTATAAATTGTAGAACTATCGGATCTATAATACCATAATTGGTAAAAGTGTGTAGACGTTATTGAAAGTTATTCCAGAAAATGATTAAATAACTGGTACTGTTAGCTGACCCCCCTCGTTCGTGTGATTTAACACCTACCGATTACTTTTTTTAGAACTATGTTAAGTCATTGGTAAATGCCGACAAATCAGCAATTCTTGAAGTATTCTGAGCCAATCTTCATGCCACCATTGACGTCATACGGCCATTTTATTGCAAAAAATAGTCAGAAAATGGAGTGATCGAGTGGACCATGTAACCCGTAGCCACGGTGGACACATGCCGGAAATAATATTAAAAAAATAATAGCCATGAAATTATCTTTCAGAATATAATAAACAAAATTTCATATAAATAATATTTCTGTCTCGTATTATCAGTTTAAATTCTCAGTCAGCTAAAAAAACCCTAAATCAAAAATTGTTTTGGAAAATAAAAACATTTTTGTCTTCGATTCGATAAAGAAAACAATTCGACTACACGAATGCCGTTGACTTTGATTTAAATCCCATCCATCCCACAATCCATTATCACTCCTAAATAATCCTAAAAAATCTCCTTCCATTTCACAGAACCCACGTAATCATCTTGTAATGCCTTGTGGGCAAGGATCTATAACATTACATGAATACTCTCTATGCATTAATTGTCTGAATTATCCGGACAACACTATATATGTACATATAATGTTATTTTTAGTACGTTTATAAGTAAAATGATTGCTTTAAATTAAATAAATATTTTTCACATGCAATCGAATAAGGAACACACACCTACTTTTATGACAATTGACCGAGGAAACAAGCCCTAAAAGATAATAAAGATTTTATTGAAAAAATAAAAAAATAAAAAACAAAATTTAAAAAAAAAACACATCAAACGTGACACTAAACAATGCATACAACAATTTTTAGAAAAATATACGTTTTAAAGTAATTAAATTAATTAATTGACGATTGATTTTATGAAAAATACTACGGAGTATGCATAAATTGTTTATTTGTAAAAAACAAAAATCATAAAACATACAGGTGAACATGCACAACCCCAGTAAGTAGGTTTTCTTAAGCTAGGCGTGCTCAAAAAAGTCACGCATGCTTTGCATGGGGGATCTTCGGTTTAATGGTTACGAGACCGACTAAGCCAAATGAGATTTGAAGCGTATTTGCGGTGAACCGTATATGTAATTCTCGTATTATGCACTTCTTTGATAAGAAGTGCATGCGAAGTCAATAAACTCTAACCTCAACGATGTGCTCAAAAATTTATTTTTTGTGAAATTGGAGAACCGCAAAAAAAATTTATTTCTGATTAAATGTTTAATTTATATAAATTAAAAAAAAACTAAAAAATATAGAAAAAAAATAAACCACAGTGCAAAAAATTTATGAACTATCGTGGTTAGAATTTTTTCGTAGAAGAACATAGTTTTAAAAATAACCATCTGATAATATTGTAACTATATAGTTATACTATTACAATAATATTCATAATAAATTGAAAGCATCAACAATATACAGTTACCGTAATTAGCATATTTAGATTTGAATATAGCAAACATAGAATTTTAATATT